AGCTCGTGAGGGATTTGAACCCTCGTCTTCCCATGACTGTGCGCCAGCTGGGCGCTCTAACCGCTGAGCTAACGAGCCTCGTTGTAGAGCCTTCGATCTTCCACTCTCATTTCTGTTTGTGACGTCATACTCAAAGTAAATGGGAAATGTGGTCTACTTTGGGTTTACATATCTATCACTAGAATATTTGCATACCTTAGTGCCTGCGTTAGCATGAAATGCAGGTCATGGCATTTCAAGCAGCGGGGAGATATCGGAAAATCATTAAAACTAAATAAAACCCGTTAAATAATCCTACTTAAACTGAGCTAAATTAAAAATTTCCTTAAAAACGAAACTGCGGTAATAACAATTTTGATAATTTTGTCGTGAATTACTTCTATATTGCAGTACTAGTGGCGGGGTATTTTGTGATTCCTCACAGGCAGGTATTGCTTCGCTGCCTATTTCTGCCGTAAGCCAGTAATGCGTTATGGTTTGTTTTTTTTTTTTTTTTTGCCCTTGTAGGCAGACGTGCATACGGCCCACCTGATGGTGAGTGGTTACCGTCGCCCATGGACTTCAGCAATGCCAGGGGCAGAGCCAAGCCGCTGCCTAGCGTTAAAAGTACCGTGTACAGCCGTAGAGTCATTATACCATAGAGAAACAATTGAAGCTACGTGCTCATGTTACAAGGTGATGCCTACAGGCCCTGGTAGCCATAAATAATCAAGAAGGCCGTGAGCTCATTTGCACACATCTGTACAAGAAAATGAAAAAAAACACAGACTCCATCTCATTTCCAACTCATTTAAGTTGTTCAGTTTCCTCGGGCTACGGTGACCGCTGAATACGAGATCAACACTGGGTTTCCTCTACTTGTCTAAGTCAGTAAATACTATGACAATGCGACATCAATACACACAGTAAAACGTTTGATCAGGTTCTCAGGCTCTCCACAGGACCTCCGATGGACGGTTCTCACCTGCGTAACAAATTGTGAACATTTCAGCTAGATGGAGTTGAAATATAAATCCGAACGAACTGAAAATGGCATTTATTATCTACATTAATATGAATTTAGGAATTATTTTCATTGATATAAACAAAATAGTACTGACAGAGCAAAGTTACCTGTTCTTGAATAATATTTAAAGGAAATATTGGGAGTTTGGTGACAGTACCACGATGTTACCTGATGACCGGTGGGAACATACTTTCCACAGGAAGAGTACGAATAAGCTATCATTTTATTGATGGTGAAAATGACAGAACTTAGGAGAAGCAAATTCAGCTTATAAAAAATCTTGGAAAAATTAGCTCGTGAGGGATTTGAACCCTCGTCTTCCCATGACTGTGCGCCAGCTGGGCGCTCTAACCGCTGAGCTAACGAGCCTCGTTGTAGAGCCTTCGATCTTCAACTCGCATTCCTGTTTATGACGTCATACTCAAAGGAAATGGAAAATGTGATCTATTTTTAGCTTACATATCTATCCTTAAAATATTTGCATACTTTGCATAGTGATTTCTTTGTATTTTTTATGCTTACAAATTGCCATCTCTTACCACTCTGACTACGATAAATTATTAAAATTCGTAATTATTTGGATAAGAACAAAGATTAAAAGATTTGCTACGCCTCAAAATCACCAAAATCATTCGACTGTGAAATATTGCAGTAGTTTCCCAATTTATTATATCCACCTAGGAATACTCGTATGGTTAGCTAAGACCCTTTATATCCTCTGCAGCCCATCACGGAGGTTCCGTTCGTGAGTATCGATGCTACTACTAAACACCATCAACTCTGTTGTCCTGTAGTTCCACTAAAAGAATCAGATGTTGAAACTACGAACCTAAGATTCCGTAGCCCGGGATTCGGTGAAGGATTAAGATTGCGAATTGCAAGATGTTATATAATGAGAACATACAACAAGAGACCGGCTGAAAACGGTCCAGGAGAACCAAAAATTGGGATAATTGGTGCAAATTTGTCACTGGTGGTAGGACCTCTTGGGAGTCCGCACGGGTAGGTACCACCACCCCGCCTATTTCCGCCGTGAAGCAGTAATGCGTTTCGGTTCGAAGGGTGGGGTAGCCGTTGTAATTATACTGAAACCTTAAAACTTATATAACGAGGTGGGTGGCGCATTTACGTTGTAGATGTCTATGGGCTCTAGTAACCACTTAACACCAGGTGGGCTGTGAGCTCGTCCATCCATCTAAGCAATAAAAAAAACAATAAAAAAAAATGAACAATAATGATGGATTCGCAAGCAAAAATAAACAAGTTTGACTGCGACACGGCTCCCGAAAACAATTCTAACCTTCGATCAATGCATTTTCGAGTTTCTAAATTGCCTGTAGCAGTTTATTGAGTGAGGAACACTTGGAGCCGATATTATTGTGGTATTGTTAATGATCCGCCGGTCCGGCGTCCCGAGGGGGAGGGTGATGGGAGAGATGTGCTCCGCACTAAACGCTTCACTTTCCCCCCTTTGCCTCTTCATGAATTCTGTCTCATGCGAGGTTTGGACGTTGGTTGTTGAGCGACAGGAGGTTTTAGTCAGTTCGACTCTGACATGCTCCGCCCTCTATCCCCAGTGGAGGGCGGAAGTCCGGCGATTTCCTCCTGACCAAAAAAAAAAAAAAAAATTGTTAATGATGTACGGGTAAGATTTAAGAAACACGAAAATCAGTCGATTTATGATAACGAAAATGAAAATTATTATTAACGACTGAAACTTAATTATTAGCTGTTGCATCAAAAAAATACTTTGTAGAAAACTGCACGGTCAATGAAATCGCAATAAGAAAAAGTAATAAGCGTTTTCGTTTTGTTTTCAAAAGATTGGAGTTTCCGATGGATTTTAATTCGAGCTTATTATTTTTCTGTATTGTAATACTAACGAACCAGGTATGTTGATTCATTGTGGAAAACATCTAAATATGTATCTCAATTGTCCAAATCAGCTCCTTATCCCGGTGCTTCCTGAATGCTAATACATATCCTTCTTCTAGCAATATACAATCCTTCTCCAAACGAGGCCTGTGAAGAGTACTTAACAGTAGGCAGCGGCTTGGCTCTGCCTCTGGCATTGCTGAAGTCCATGGGCGACAGTTACCACTCACCAGGTGGGCCGTATGCTTGTCTGCCTTTTTTTTTAAAGCAAACATAGGTGGACGAGCTCACAGCCCTACTGGTGTTAAGTGGTTTCCGGAGCCCATAGACATCTACAACGTAAATGCCACCACCCACCTTGAGGTATGAGTTCTAACTTCCCTACCTTAGCTGCGCAACCCTTCAAACCGAAACGCATTACTGCTTCACGGCAGAAATAGGTGGAGGCGTGGTACCTACCCGTGCGGACTCACAAAAATTCCTACCACCAGTACAAGGGCAATAAAGAAAATGAAATAGATTATTAGATTATTTATGTCCCTGGTATTAAAACTGATGGTCATTACCGAAGACAGTCATTACGATAATGACATAATAATATCGTTTGCCTTCGAAGATAATTAAAAAACACATTCGTTTTTATCGTCAAATTTTTAAATCGAATTTTATCGACTTTATATCTGACAGCCCTACTTTGTTATAAAAATACTATATGTATTTAACAAAAAAACCGACAGTTTATCAGTCAGGATAGAGCGAATTGTGGCTCTTAATAATAATCCAAGATAACAACTTTGTACCTCTGTTACAGAGATGTGAAGCGAAACACAAAGTCGTAAGCCAACGGGACCGCGAAAACCAAATAATCAAATTGTTGAGGGCTGCTACCGCTGATGCCAATAATCAAGACGAGATATGGAAGTATATGGATGAGGTCTTAAAAAAAACAGCTACTCTGCATCAATAATTCTGTTCAATAATTCTGCGTCAAGGGCTCTGCCTGTAGTATATCTGTAATTCACACGTAATTCTAAATTAATTCATTACCGTATACATTGTAATGTATGATCTTAACTATGGCTTAGGTCGCACTAGGATTTTTTTTATTGTTTGGATGCGTGGACGAGCTCACAGCCCACCTGGTGTTAAGTGGTTACTGGAGCCCATAGACATCTATAACTTAGATATAAGTTCTAAGGTCTCAAGTATAGTTACAACGGCTGCCCCACCCTTCAAACCGAAACGCATTACTGCTTCACGGCAGAAATAGGCAGGGTGGTAGTACCTACCCGTGCGGACTCACAAGTGATCCTACCACCAGTAAGTAACGATTAAATATTAGAATATAGAAAATATATAAAAATATAGAAAATAAATTTATTGTAAAAAGAAACGTACGTGTATAAGTATGCCAAATTTCGGTTTAATCCGACGTTTGGAAAGGGATCAAAATTACGGTCAAAGATTCCGTGACGTACATACACGTATGAAGCTAATAAAAGCGTATCAAAAAATAGGACTCCATGAAGAATAGGATCGTTTTGGCTAGTTTCTCTGGTGGATTTCTTTTTATGGAACTTGTTATTTTGAAATTTAAAAAGTATAGTGTAGGTATATGTAAGTATATATACGTGATATCAAATTTTTATATTGACCATATTGAATTTGGATTATTCAGTAAAATGCCTGTATCATTTTTCAAACCAGATAGCATTCATTGCCTTGCAGCAGGAACATGAATAAGATACTGGACCGTACCAGCTCCTAAAACCTTTTTTTTTTTATTGCTTAGATGTGTGGACGAGCTCACAGCCCACCTGGTGTAAAGTGGTTACTGGAGCCCACGGACATCTACAACGTAAATGCGCCACCCACCTTGAGATATAAGTTCTAAGATCTCAGTATAGTCACAACGGCTGCCCTACCCTTCAAACCGAAACGCATTACTGCTTCACGGCAGAAATAAGCAGGGTGGTGGTACCTACCCGCGCGGACTCACAAGAGTTCCTACCACCAGTAAACCAGATAGCATTCATTGCCTTGCAGCAGGAACGTGAATAAGATATTGGACCGTACCAGCTCCTAAAACCTACCTTGTTAGGGGTAAGTAATCATTTAAATGGTAAAACTGAATTCACAGAAAGAAATGCAACGGTTCATTGCTGAACTGAACTCTAGAGATCCTTCGTCGTGGTCAGCTACCAATCCACATTTTGCGCAGCCCAACGTGTATAAAGATTTGGGGAGAAGATTCGTCCCACAATATCCTTATACGGAGGTAAGAACAAGTGATGGCATTGGAAGGTTTTCATGTGTAACCAACAGACGTGTTCAAACCCTGGTGTTAAGTAGTGGAATCCATAGACTTGATAACATTAGACCCGGCAACCGTTTGGACCTAACCATTTGGCCTAATGTCTTACGAAAGATTGTTGTTCTAATTGGTGTGTTTTTAAACTCATCTATGCAATAAGAAGACCATAACGATGTATGACATATGGCATATTGTGAGGCAACACGGATATACGTATTCTGTTTATTGGAACGAAGTTCCTTATCGCGCGTTGTGAAAGGGGGCTACACGGAAAAAATTCTTACGAAAAGTTGTTACGACACTTTTTGCTATAAATTCTTACGAAAAGTTGTCACGACACTTTTGGAACGAAGTTCCTTATCGCGCGTTGTGAAAGGGGGCTAGACGGAAAAAATTCTTACGAAAAGTTGTCACGACACTTTTTGCTATAAATTCTTACGAAAAGTTGTCACGACACTTTTTAGATCCGTCATTCTGACCAATCAACGTGTAGGCGCTTATCGCGTGACATTGATCGTATCCGATTGGTCCGCGTAATGAGTACAGTTTCTCGAGATAGTGTTTCAACAATAGTAATTTAGTTCATAGTATTGTTTTTTTTTTCTTCATAATGCCGTAATTTATTATTATAACTTAAAAAAAAATTACAATTCCTTCACTAATTAATCGAAAGGAACTTCGTTCCATCCGGGTGTCCCTTGACACCTCTGAAGTTTTTTCTACCGTAAAATAGGCACGTGTTCCAGTTTGAAAGCAGTCGTTAAGAAATAAAATTAAGGTGGCAGGTGAAACTGGTGGTAGGACCTCTTGTGATTACTGGTGGTAGGACCTCATGTGAATCTGCAAAATCAGATACTACCACACTGCCTATTTCTGTCGTGAAGCAGTAACGCCTTTCGGTTTGAAGGGTGAGACAGCCGTCGTGACTATACTGCGACCTTAGAACCCATATCTCAAGGTGGGTGGCGGCATTTACGCTGTAGATGTATATGGGCTCCAGTACCTAACCACTTAACACCAGGTGGGCTGTGATATCGTCTACACATCTAAGCAATAAAAATATCTTCGATATCATCACTCGGACTGGGTGGGCGGTCGCCATGCCGTTCCTTTGTTTTATTGTCTTCAACTATAGCTACTGTATTTGAAAAACTGGTAAGACTCTTCTGTCTTTTGAGCCTCGAATAACAATGCAGTATTTATAATACCAAAGAGCTTATCTGATGGTGCACTTGGGTCAAGGGTAACGGAACCCTTCAAACGTCTGCTTAAAAATCTATGTTTGAGCAGAAAGATTTGTCTGAACGTGTAAATACATGTTTACTAAAATATTGTTTTAATTTTGCTTAAGAATCAAGAAGAAGAGGATGTCAATCATCTAACACCAGAATTGGTAAGACATTTTTTCTCATTCTTTTCATTCTTTGATAACTCATGCACCATCCAGGCGGTTCGATAGTGGAATGCTCTGCCGGATGCCGTGAGAAATGCTTCTTTAAAAGTATGGTGAAAGAACATTACCTATCCGCCTAGTGTTGTTTGCTGGTTTATGTTTTATCCTTACTGTTAATTTATTATGTGTATGTAAGTATATTGGAATATAAATCATATGGCGATTTCATATTGTGTTTAACGGTATTTTTTTAATTATATTTTCTTTAATAATGTGCTGTTAATAGTACATCGCAACATACCTGCTGTATCTTTATCTGTCCAGAATTTCGGGTAATTAAACGGTTGTCTGGAAGAGATCGCTTTTAGCGATAAGACCGCCTATTGTACAAACGTATCTGCTTGTTGACTGTTTTCTGATGTCAATTGTGTTTTGGTGTGCAATAAAGTATGTTCTCTTTCTCTCTCTCTCTCTCGCTCTCTCTCTTTCTTTCTCTCTTTCTCTACACTTCTTCTCACTACACCTTACGTTTAAATTTCTTCGAACTTAAACATTTTTTTAATTTCTTTTGCAATTTATTTTTGGCTGCATAAACTGACCATAAATGATTAAAATTAACCATGGAAGCAATTGCATGATTTATTTCATTAAAATTGATTGCTTTCGAAGTTGTGTCGGCGTTGTGGATTTTCCAATCGATCTTTTTTATTATGGAAAAAAAAAAATTGGCACTGAAAGTAGACTTAAGTGACCACGCTCGTTTAGATAATCAATGCCAGAGGTAAAGCTGAGCTGCCTATACCTGATTAAATATAAAGATCACACTAGGGATTCGCACTCGGGATACACGGCATTCGATGACTCAATATGTTGAAGGTCGGGCCGAAGATGTTAAAGGCCCACTCACTAAACGACTACCTTGCACTCTCGTCCGGCGTCCAATCCTTGCTCAAAACAGAACCCGACAAAAGGCACAAAGGACTCCGTGGTCAGTACTTCAACCAGACGCACAAATCTTCTCAAGCGCCCCAGCTGAAAAAGTCGTCGTGGCTGCAAAATTATAATTTGCGTAATTACTGGTCGTAGGACCTCTTGTGAGTCCGCACGGGTAGGTACCGCCGCCCTGCCTATTTCTGCCGTGAAGCAGTAATGCGTTTCGGTTTGAAGGGTGGGGCAGCCGTTGTAACTATACTGAGACCTTAGAACTTATATCTCAAGGTGGGTGGCGCATTTACGTCGTAGATGTCTATGGGCTCCAGTAACCACTTAACACCAGGTGGGCTGTGAGCTCGTCCACCCATCTAGCAATAAAAAAAAAATCGGCGCCTACATCTTCCGTCACGGTACGGAACCCCTTAGGTCGCCCTAGGCAATGCCACTAGTGTCCTGAAACATCCCATTAGACCAGAACTTGTCTGCAGGATACACTATCGACCGGTCGCTCTACCCCATCAGTGCTAAGATCTAAGAATGATTCAGAAATAAAGCTATCAGCCTTTGAAAAAATTACAGGCAACGCCAGAACTTCTGCTCTCATTAGCAAAGCAAGCCTCGCTTTGGACAAGTTCCGACTTGAACAATGCTTATAATAAGCCAAGACACAATCAGAAGAACATATTGAGAAGCGGTGTGAGTCTCACTTAAGCTATTTTAATACGCTTTTATTAGCTTCATACTTCATACGTATGTTAGTATGTAACAGAATCTTTAAACATGTTTTAACCCCCTTCAAAACGTCGGATTAACTCGAAATTTGGCATACTTATTAAAAATGATTTTATTGTAAAAAAAAGCGTGGAGCGTATGGTATGAATAGTTATAAATATTTTATGAACAGATATGAGTAATTTATTTTGATAGTAGTAGTTATTTTGATAATATCCTGAAAAGCACCTCATGCTTTTTTGACAATAAAAACATTTTTTCTTACACTGTGTTTAATTCAAATATATTAAAAAATATTTTCTATTTTTTAGTTGGATTTTCTATAAAAGCGTATTTTTTTTAGTTTTTTAACTATTAGTTGTTGTGATACATTTCCTAAAAAACAAACAGATCATTTCTAACCGTTGTGAAATATACGACATTGAGCAGATAGATAAATATTTTTACTCGATAATTGAAGTTATACTTCTTTAGGCGCGTTATGAAAAATTGATGAGAGTGAAATTTTACGATGCGCGCGCACCGTGACACAAAATTAACAGAATGAAGTTGCCCACTAAATCGTTCATTACAATACGACCGACGTAACTTGGGGAGTCTGAATATAGCCGCAGGTGAACTTTCCGAACCGTACCGAGAATTACCGAATTTATACGATGTCAAGAAAAGGGATGTCCAATATGCGTGTTTGAGGATGCTGTTTAATCGATTTTTTTTTAAATTGATTAAAATTTAAATAAATAAAAAAAGAAATAAATTTAATAAAAATAAAGTATAACTTCTTACGCGCGTACATAAGTACACGCACCCTTTTTTTTCTACATGAAACAAGAGCATGTACACTTAGAAATCCCAAAAATTGAAAGTTTTTAATTCTGTAACGGGCCGAAAAACTTACGATATAATGGTCTTTTATGTTATCAGGGTTTTTTAAATGCTCTGAGGAATTGGTACCGTCATCTTCTTTTGAACATTGCACAAACATAACCCAACACGGCAATGTAGCGTAACTTAGCAGAATCCGCTGATTTGCTTAATATTGCGTTTTGTTCAACCTCGCTTCCTACATACAACATAATATTGACATTATTTGAACCTTCATTGCTTTCAGAATTATTGGGATGGTTTCTGGAAAGAAGATACGGATCCCAAGATTCTGTTAAGATCAAATGATAAACTTGAAATGGTAGGTGTGTCTACATTTTCTGCGGCAATTTACAAGATATTCTGTAAGAGTTTACAATCGGTCATAAGCACCACAGAGCAAGGTCACGCTCGTGACATATCTTGAAAATTTTAATAGTATTTAAATAAGAATTAAGTTTGGAATCACCACATATGTAAGCTTCGCGGTATAAATCGTTGGATGACGGTAGCAAAGTTCCTAATTCTACAAATCGAGATATTTAATTCTATAATACATATCAAACTGGTGGTAGGACCACTGGAGAGTCCGCGCGGGTAGGTACCACCACCCTGCCTGTTTCTGCCGTGGAGTAGTAATGCGTTTCGGTTCGAAGGGTGGGACAGCCGTTGTAACTATACTTGAGACCTTAGAACTTATTCTCAAGGTGGGTGGCGCATTTACGTTGTAGATGTCTATGAGCTCCAGTAACCCCTTAACAACAGGTGGGCTGTGAGCTCGTCCACCCATCTAAGCAATAAAAAAATAAAAATAAATACTTCATTCAGTTCTGCATAGCTTTTTTGCAAATTATTTTGCTTATTCTTCTCGGTTCATCCTTCCTTTTCAATTAGCTCCTAATTTCTGATTACCTCAACAATAGTTCAACAGTGTGCTTAGTGCGAGTTTTTTGACGTTCTCGATAACGTAAAAGTTAACTCATATTTGTATGGAATAGGATCGTTTGCGTACGTTTGCCGCTAAGGGCGCTGTTCCAACTGCATACAAAATTGGGTTAACTTTTACGTTATCGAGAACGTTAAAAAACTCGCACTAAGCACACTGTTCTCACGTCACGCTTTGACTTAATGGAATTGCCACAGCCGAGGCACCTTCTTCGGTTGTTTTCCAATTACAGAGCATAATGCGACTCAGTGATGCACAATGCCGAATTATGCTGAAGCTTAATTGGAACGTGAATTAGTTTTCAAATGCATCAGCAGAATGCGCTAAGTTAGCACAGTTTTAATTAACATTGATTATTTCTAAGAAACTACGACGAAACGAAAGCCTTACAATTTTTGTCAACATTAAATAATATTACTAACGATAATATAAACAAAATTTCGATCAATGCCAACTTAAAGAAAAAACACTTGTCAATTTTCTGTCACTGAGTCGGTATCGATTGCGAGTATCACGCGAGAGCAGTACTTTTGGGAGTGCTCGATTGTGCGAAGCGTTGCTGTAGTTGGAACATTCAACGTTGAGCATTATGCCGCATAATGCGCTCTTGTGCTGTAATTGGAAAACTACCTTCATGAGGTCTATATTTACGTTTATTGTATCCTTAAAACCAGAAAGCAAGTATGGCCCTTAGCGAAAATTCAGAGAATACAACTTTGATTTATAGATAAGGAATAAGCGAAAAACGTAGATACCTTATCCAATTTTGCTAGAATGAAGATGAATTTGTTTGAACATTGCAAAATAAGCTTTTCTTAAGTCTCAAGATGTTACCGGCATTCACGAAAGGGACTGCAAATTTATAATGTATTGACTAAACAATAATTCGTTTGTATTATATTTTAAGTATATTTTAACGTCCGTCTGGTGTAGTGGTAAGTGACATGGTCACTACACTAGGGGGTCGCGGGTTCGAATCCCGCCAAGGGAAGATATTTGTATGATAAATATAAATGTCTTTTCCAGGGTTATGGATGCATATTAAATATATGTATGTGTATAATAAAAATTTTATTTCCGTTATCTGGTACCTGTAACACAAGTACTATACGAACTTAGTACGGGAACAGTTAACGTGGCGTGATTGTTATAAAAAAAAAAAATAAAAAAAAAATAAAAAAAAAAATTTGTACAACTAGATAATATTATCTGTATGTATGAGATATAAAAAAAATCTTGTGTTATATTTTGTGTTTGAATTCAGGTAAATAAAGAAGAGGAAATTGCTGATGATTTGACCCCACAATTGGTAAGTATAAATTTAATTGAAATTTTACTCTGCAATTTCCTCCTTGCGTCAATTACAAAATGCGGGGGCTTGTTACCGATGAGTATATCAGCTTCTTTTGTAATGTAATCCTCTATCAGTTTTGACTTTCAGCAACATGTACATAAAATGATTATTTAACGCTTTGAACCCCATCCTCCTGGCTTCTTGTCCCATATTTTTTCGGCAACAATCTGTTTTTGGACGCTGTCACCAGATTTACAGGCTGTGTCCGAAGAACTCACATACTTACCCACCGTGGGCCTTTGTTTGAGGACCTCACTGGTGGTAGGACCTCTTGGGAGTCCGCACGGGTAGGTACCACCACCCCGCCTATTTCCGCCGTGAAGCAGTAATGCGTTTCGGTTCGAAGGGTGGGGTAGCCGTCGTAACTATACTGAGACCTTAGAACTTGTGTCTCGAGGTGGGTGGCGCATTTACGTTGTAGATGTCTATGGGCTCCAGTAACCACTTAACATCAGGTGGGCTGTGAGCACGTCCATCCATCTAAGCAATAAAAAAAAAAAAAACTTCGCCATGTTAAATTTGAATTCGCTCAGAACCGAAAGTTACAGTAAAAATTCCAGACTAGCTGTGAACTTCTCTGTTCGTATGCAGCAGTAGATTGAGGTTTTTTTTCTCTCTGAAAGCCCCAATTTTTAAGTTCGTAGACGCAGCATCACGACTTAAATGTTAACATCCACTTTGGAAAGTGATGTCGGAATCTATGTTATAATATATTATACATAAAAGAGTTGCACCATCCCTCAATATGCAGAGAGAAATGTTGGTTACCCCTGATGTAATTCTTTCATAATAGTTAGGAAGAACAAAGGGTATCTTCCTGCAGGATTTTAACCCCGTCATAGGCACATCGCTCGAGGTCGCCGGTCCCTTAATTCTTTATCTCACATAAAATGTTCACTTTAGGTACCACGTATAAATTAAAATAAGTTTTGAACTTTTCTTGTGTAAAAAAAGATTTTGAAAGTTATTCCACTTCCGTCGCATATTTTACCCGTGTCAATATTTATACAGGCATCGCCAGAAATTGTCCTAGCGTTAGCCAAGCAAGCAGCAATTCTAGAAGCATCTAAACCTGTAAATCCGAGCGAAGATATCGTTCAGAAAAACATTTTAAGGAGTGGGGTAAGTGTGATTTGTGAAATTACTAATGTCCGATACGTATATTATTCTACCTGAATTTTGTCTTAGCAAATCTTTTTTTCGAGTCTGATACTACGGGAATTCAAAAATCAAATTGTCAATACTTAATCATGAAGATCCTATTCAACTCTATTTTGGGGTGATCACAATAGAATCACATGGATTACCGCGACACATGGGCTTAGTTCCACAATACCTTTAACAGTAACTTTTTTTTTACCTATGCTGATAGCTTTGAGAGGCTTTTATTTATTTATTTTTTATTGCCCTTGTAGGCAGACGAGCATACATCCCACCTGATGGTGAGTGGTTACCGTTGCCCATGGACGTCAGCAATGCCAGGGGCAGAGCCAAGCCGCTGCCTACCGCAAATTTCAATGTTACTCTAGTGGGTAGGTGAGCCTCAAAGCGGAGGTGTTGCTAACACTGGCCCTAGCAAGAGCAGTGCTTCGCAGAATCTAACCACCGGATCGGAAACTCAGTGGGCTGTGTCTATAGGAACAATAACAATATGCACTAGTATTTAAACTAAATCTTGCCATAGTCAATGTCAGCTATATTCAAATACCATAAAGCATTAATCTTTCTCCATCATTTTGAATTTATTGGATAAATGACCTCACGGACCCCTTGATGTTAATTAGTTACAGGAGCTAATAAACATTTGAATATGATTACGCACGAGACACCGGGCATCTTATCTTACAGACATGAGAAAGAACTTTGCGGCTTAATCAAACCATCGGACTAATTTCTCTTTCAGAATTATTGGAACGATTTTTGGAAAGAAGACGTTAGTGATGGTACGAACATTTTGCGATCCAACAAAAAAATCAACCTGGTAATTTATTTTTTCTAATTTTAACTAATTACAGGAGAAAATCAATTGTTAATTATTTTAATTAAATAACATTAAATTGTCTCGATTAAGGAGGTACAGTCAAAGGCCCTTGTGCCTAGGTTTTTTATTGGTAGTACTGCATCTTAGGAGCCCGCACGGAATGGTACCACCTACCTGCCTAATTCTGCCGTAAAGCTGTAATGCGTTACGGTTTGAGCAGGGGGACCGTTACACTGTAAAACAAAGACTTAGAAATTACTAGCGGTACTCGCCCGCTTCGCCGGGGTTTTAAAATTAATATTATCATTTATTGTCATTATTATTAGGGAGTCCAAAACTCATATAAATATTAGCCTATCCAATAAGTACATGTATTTTCTACATGGATACCAACTTTCAAGTCAATCGGATGCATGGTTCAGTAGTTATAACGGAACATCCGTAAAAACCACTGTAGATTTATATATTAGTATACATTTCTCAACATGGGCGGTGGCATTTACGTTGTTGATGCCTATGAGCTCCGATAGTCATTTAACACCAGATGCGTCGTGAGATCTAGCACCCAACAGAGCAGAAAACCCTCGGTGACAATGCAGTTTTAAGTTGGAATGAGCAGTGAACATATCCTGTATACCTACTTAACGTTGGATTTATTTTTTATTGCTTAGATGGGTGGACGAGCTCGCAGCCCACCTGATGTTAAGTGGTTACTGGAGCCCATAGACATACACAGCGTAAATGCGCCACCCAATAAGTTCTAAGGTCTCAAGTTTAGTTACAGCGGCTGCCCCACCCTTCAAACCGAAACGCATTACTGCTTCACGGCAGAAATAGGCACGGTGGTGGTATCCAACCGCACGGACTCACAAGAGGTCCTACCACCAGTAATTACGCAAATTATAATTTTGCGGGTTTCTATTTTATTACACGATGTTATTCCTTCACCGTGGAAGTCAATCGTGAACATTTGCTTAGTACGTACTATTTCTTTAGAAAAATTGGTACCCGCCTGAGATTCGAACACCGGTGCATCGCGCTCAACACGAATGCACCGGACGTCTTATCCGTTAGGACACGACGACTTCAAAAGGAATGAATGATCAGCTAACATATTATCCTGTACCTAGGTATACATAATGATTAAAAACTTTACAGAAAACCGTTAAGATTAAAATCACGCCAGAAGATGACGAGTACGAGGCTATAATGAAATTGACGAAAATATCACCGTATTTAATTTACGCGGTAAACAATAAAAAAACATACTAAATAAAAGGTGGTTTGTGTAATATTTGGAGGTGTTTTCTTTTTTATTTTCAACGCGAATTCACTCAAGGTAGCCTGGTGAAATGTGAACAAAATGAAGTAGCATTTGCTTTGGGCTGCTGATCTTCCTCAAGTGGCAATTTGTTGAGTCACACAAAATAAAAACGTTCAATTACTACCTGTTCATAGATTTAAGAAAACTGTCAAGGAACGTTTGTGCAACAAGGCATATTATAAAGTTAAGGATTATTTACTAGATGGCACTACGTGGGAATGAGGCCTTTTCATTCTTCATAAAAAAAAAAAAAAATTTATTGTATTTTTTGACTTGTTTTTTCCTTTATTTGTAAATATGTTTACTTATTTTAAAAAAAAAAAAAAATATTTGAGAAAAAAACAAAAAAGAGGCCGCTGAGTTTGTTTCGCCGGTTCTTCTCAGGACTCAGGACTGTGGCTTTTTTTGGAACCGGTGGTAGAGTTAACATTTTTAACACTACAAGTCCGACTGGCGGGACTTTTGTGAGTTTTCGTGAGTTCGTTGTTCCGGGCTGTTGGCGAAGATGATATATAAATAATGTTTACACTGATTTGGTATGAGGTTTAATATAAAAAAAAGCGACACAATAACTAACAAAATACAAAATGAGTTGAGAATCGTACAGTTACACTAAGACTCGCAATATCTTACTNTCACGTCGCGTTTACACTATGAAATTAGTTGCATGACATTAATTTCACCAAAAAATCGCGCAGGGCACGAAACTAATTTCCATGCATGAAATTAATGCATGCATTACGAAAGTATTAAATTACACGTGAAACTGTTAGTAAAACTAATGTCACGAAATTAATTTCACGCCACTAATTTCGTAATGTAAATTCGGCTTTAGGCCACGACGACTTCAAAAGGAATGAATGATCAGCTAACATAATAATATCCTGTATACATAATGATTGAAAACTTTACAGAAAACCATTAAGATTAAAATCACGCCAGAAGATGACGAGTACGAGGCTATAATGAAATTGAAGAAAATATCACCGTATTTAATTTACGCGGTAAATAATAAAAAAACATACTAAATAAAAGGTGGTCTGTGTATTATTAAAGATGTTTTCTTTTTTATTTGCAACGCGAAGTCAGTCAAGGTAGCCTGGTAAAATGTGAACAAAACGAAGTAGCATTCGCTTTGGGCTGCTGATCTTCCTCAATTGGAAATATGTTGAGTCACACAAAATAAAAACGTTCAATTACTACCTGTTCATAGATTTAAGAAAACTGTCAAGGAACGTTTGTGCAACAAGGCATATTATAAAGTTAAGGATTATTTGCTAGGTGGCACTACGAGGGAATGAGGCTCGCCTAGCTCCTAGCCTTTTCATTTTTCATATATATTTTTTAATTGTATTTTTTGACTTGTTTTTTAGTTTATTTGTAAATATATTTCTTATTTAAAAATATATATATATATATATATATTTGAGAAAAAACAAAAAAAGAAGGCCGCTGAGTTTGTTTCGCCGGTTCTTCTCAGGACTGTGGCTATTTTTGGAACCGGTGGTAGAGTTAACATTGTTATTTATATTTTGACAATCAAAAAGTGTGTTATGCTGACATCTAAGTTGAAATAAATGATTTTGAATTTGAATAAAACAAGTATACAATGTGAACATTTTTAATTAAGAAACCCATCATTATAAGGATCTCTTAGGACATTAATCAGCAAATTGTTGGTATCAGGCTTCCAAAGATCGGTAGCTTTCTCTTCGGCCAGTCTAGCCTTTCTATAACATTCGAGAATGTTCCTTTTCAATTTCTTCTCGTCTTTCTCCTCTAAATACTCAATCATCTTTCTTAGATCATCTTTCACTACGCGAGTACGTTTGATCCTTTGTACTTCGTTGTAAAGATAATTCGTAGTCTGATAATTGTCTTTTATGAAATCGGTTATGACTTGAACTTTCTTCGCGTGCTGTTGCCTGGAAAGCGCAGCGACTTTCAAATCTTCCTTGAACTTTTCCACGTCTTCGAATCTCCTGCTCTTCATTTCGTGAGAATAAATTTCGTCGTCTTCCTTAGACCATAATTCGTCGATAATCTTCATTTTAATAAAATCATTTGAATAAGGATGCGTTTTGTTAATAATTATTGTTACCTTTAATACAATTTAAAACAGTTTTGTATGTTTCGGTGCTAAATGATTACGCTTAATCTAAAGTAGATGTTGACCGAGCTTTGCTCGGGTTTTTTTTTTGATAACGCCATCTTGTTGTGTCTTTAAAGCAGTTAGTTGCCCTCAATTAAGAAAAATAGTATTATTATTCGCCAATAGATGTCGGGAAGAGTTGATTAATGAAAACACGAATAAAACAACATTTTCTGAAAATAAATCGTAGCTAGATCGATTTATCGCCCCCGAAATCCCCTGTATACTAAATTTTTGAAAATCGTTGGAGCCGTTTCCGTGATTCACATTATAACTAGTCAGGTCATAAGTATTGTCACACAGTAAAAACTTTTCTTTTAGAATGCTGGCCACAAAAAAGATTATTGAATTCGAATTTCAAATTGTTCATGAAAATAAAAATGTATACTTTTAGAATTTTACTCATTTTTAAATATGGAGTGGACGCTTAAAGAAGACCGTGTTGCAGTTATTGCGTTGCATCGTTGCGGTTACGCGCCAATTCAAATTTTTAACATACTGAAAAATTTGAATATAACCAAAAGATTCGTTTATCGTACCATCAAACGATACAATGAAGACTCTAGTGTAGATGACAGGTCAAGAAGTGGTCGCCCTCGGTCTGTTAGGACTCCAGCAGTGATAAAAGCTGTGAAGGCGCGAATTCAAAGAAATCCCAAACGTAAGCAGAAACTGTTGGCCCTTCAGATGGGGTAAAGCAGAACCACGGTGAAAAGGGTGTTAAATGAAGACTTAGGGCTTCGGGCATATCGAAGAAAAACAGGACATCGTTTGAATGCTCGTCTAATGGACCTGAGGCTGAAGAGATGCCGCGCTTTGTTGAAGCGGTACGCGCGAAAAAAATATCGGGAAATTCTTTTTTCGGATGAAAAAATTTTTACCGTAGAAGAGAGCTACAACAAACAAAATGATAAGGTGTACGCACACAGTAGTGAAGAAGCGAGCAACCGTATACCGCGTGTCCAACGAGGTCATTTTCCATCCTCGCTCATGGTATGGTTGGGAGTTTCTTATTGGGGCTTAACAGAGGTACATTTTTGTGAGAAAGGTGTAAAAACGAATGCAGTTGTGTATCAATATACAGTCCTGACGAACCTTGTGGAACCTGTTTCTCATACCATGTTCAATAATAGGCACTGGGTATTCCAACAAGATTCGGCGCTAGCTCATAGAGCGAAGAGCACACAAGACTGGCTGGCAGCGCGTGAAATCGACTTCATCCGGCACGAAGACTGGCCCTCCTCCAGTCCAGATTTGAATCCGTTAGATTACAAGAAATGGCAACACTTGGAGGAAAAGGCGTGCTCAAGGCCTCATCCCAATTTGGAGTCACTCAAGACATCCTTGATTAAGGCAGCCGCCGATATTGACATGGACCTCGTTCGTGCTGCGATAGACGACTGGCCGCGCAGATTGAAGGCCTGTATTCAAAATAACGGAGGTCATTTTGAATAAACTTTAAAGTCATAAGAATCTAGGTTTTGTTAAGTTCATTTTGGTATATGAATGGTTACATAATGAATAAACTTGTTTCAATTATTTTACATTAAACATGTGACAGAATTTATGACCTGACTAGATATATATACAAGGATTGCTCGTTTAAAGGTATAAGATAATAATAAGATTAAAGGGGGAAGCATTTTTTTTTAAATAGTTTAATACATTTTAATCTTTGCCTGATTTAATAATGATTTTAAAAACTAGCGTTAAGAAACACAAAAAAATCTTCCCAACATCCGACCCGGTTTGATTTTTGTTCTCCTACCTATGCTGATAGCCTTGAGAGGTTATTTCAGCTTCGCCTTAACGTGTAGGCGAGCTCACGGGGCTCAAACCGGAAGTGTTGCTAACACTGGCCCTAGCAAGAACAGTGCTTCGCAGAATATACCACCGGATCGGAAACGCGACACACTGAGAAGATCTGGCGAGAAACTCAGTGGGCTGTGTCTATGGGTTAATTTACTCATCGAGCCCTTCGTCGCAAGCGAAGTTTTCGGCGAGGACGGTGACCAATGCTTGAGGTACCTAAAAGCACCGTTAATGGATCGGGAGGTTCTGTAATTACGTATTTAGGGCGACGTCGACTGTTTACCATTCGGTCCACAGGATCCGGTATGATCGGTTTGAAAGATGAAACGACTCTTATATACTGACTTATAAAATAAAATAAAAATAATAATTTTCGTAATTATTGGTGGTAGGACCTCTTGTGAGTCCGCACGGGTAGGTGCCACCACCCCGCTTATTTCTGCCGTGAAGCAGTAATGCGTTTTGGTTTGAAGGGTGGGGCAGCAATTGTAATTATACTGAAACCTTAAAACTATATATGTATATATAAGTCAAGGTGGATATAGACATGGGCATTGTCATGTTTATAAGCTTCGAAGTGGTCTGTGAGCTCGTTCATTTAACATTACTATAACAAATAAACAAACTTACGAAAAATATTTTTATTTGTAACTTGCAAAACATGTTCGAAGTTTTACTTACATATTTTATCAATTCAATATATTTGATTGGAGATATAATGGAATTTACATGCAAATAAAAAGGCGCTGAATGTTAAAGCAATTTATTGTGCAACATAATATTATTACATAAAAAAAAATATGGTTACAAAATTTGTTCTATTGTCAATTTTAATTTTATATAATAATATGTACAAGGTAGGTTTTATGGTAGCATTTGCTGCTATTATTTGATTAACAGTAATTGTGCTCGAAATTTAAAATGCAAAAAATTAAAATATTTTACTATGTGGAAACATCATGTTTTTAACAGTAATATGTTTTTTTTTTATTGCTTAGATGAGTGAACGAGCTCACAGACCACCTGGTGTTAAGTGGTTACTGGAGCCCATAGACATCTACAACGTAAATGCGCCACCCACCTTGAGATATAAGTTCTAAGGTCTCAATTATCGTGACAGCAGAAAAAAGGAATTATCCTTGCAAACAATAAATACTTAGTACTAATAATGATAAAATGCAATGCTGTATTAAAATAAAATATGTGTGATATGATAAAATGTAATAAATAATAAAGGTAACGTCTGCAACTTGGGCGAACCAAAGAAAATAACAACCAAAGATCAAGCAACCTGTAGCGGTAGCTATCATACAGTAGGTACAAGATATTTGACAGATGCCTGAATCTCACATTTTCAAAATAAGCTTGCAAAATAAATACAAGTTCCGAACAACATTCGGGCCTCCCGTCATGACTTACGCAAGTGTTGTGTTCGCTCACGCTGCCCGCACGCACATAGACACCCTCCAATCTCTACAATCCCGCTTTTGCAGGGTAGCCCTCGGAGCTCCGTGGTTCGTGAGGAACGTTGACCTACACGACGACCTGGGCCTCGAATCTATCCAGAAATGCATGAAGTCAGCGTCGGAACGGTACTTCGATAAGGCTATGCGTCATGATAATCGCCTTATCGTTGCCGCCGCTGACTACTCCCCGAATCCTGATCATGCAGGAGCCAGTCACCGTCGACGCCCTAGACACGTCCTTACGGATCCATCAGATCCAATAACCTTTGCATTAGACGCCTTCAGCTCTAACACTAGGAGCAGGCTTAGGAGCCCCGGTAACCNTAGACACGTCCTTACGGATCCATCAGATCCAATAACCTTTGCATTAGACGCCTTCAGCTCTAACACTAGGAGCAGGCTTAGGAGCCCCGGTAACCGTGCAACCTACCCATGAATCAGCTCGCTGAGTCTCTCGTCGGATCCGAACCGATCTCGCGATTCCGATCCGGTAGTAGATTCATTCGCGAAGCAGCTGCTCTTGAGTTGTTAGGTCTCCTATGAAGGCGCTCGGGCAGCTGTTAGCAAATCCCACTCCTTCTGGCTGAGCCTTTGCTCGCCCACCTGTCCTGGTGAAACTGGAAAGGCCTCCGGGCCACCAGTAATCCTTCAATCCTTACAAAAAAAAAACATTCGGACCGTTGCGTCGGTCTACTGAGCAATATCACTTGCTCGATGATCGATGAAGATCTTCCCTTTGTCGTATACCCCCAAACGATCGAATTTCCGATGGTTTTTTTTTATTATCAATAATCACAGGCCAGAAATACGCATATTATTGATTAGGTAATGATAGATGTGTACATAAAAATTTATATATCATTAATGTATTTAGCTATACAATATATATTGATAGATAAATAGATACTCAATTTTTAAAATAACTACACACAGAAAACCCAACTAAAATTCGATAGCAATGTAACTTAACAATAATTCTTAAAAAACACATTTTTTTAACAGGTTTATTCTCAGAGATATGAAGTTTCGCCTGAATTTCGATTTGTAAACTACCCTCCAATATATTACCAAAGACTTAGAAGGATTACACCATATAGAACTAGTCAGGTTTTTTGGACTAGAAGAATTTAAGTTTGTGAGATTAATTTCGAATTAATCAAGGTCTTAAGTATTTTGTACAGTAGGTGAAAATTCATGATGATAAAATGGCTTGTGACAGCCTTGAATGAAGAGCTTTTGACGTGACAACGTCTTATAATTCGATGGAGCCGGCTGCACGCACGGAGAAACATGACTCATGAGGCGTTCCATTTAAGGCTTGAAGTGCAAGCGAGAGCGCGCAACGAGCGACAAAGAGGCACAATCGGCCTCCGCGTTCAGCAGCGTTCGATATCTGTCTCTCTCCTACTTGAGTGAGCGATGCATCCGCGTGGACAGCTGCTATACATTTACATGTTTTCGTCAAGTATGAAGTTCAGTGAAAAGTGAATGTGGTGTCAATTGTTTATAGCAACGATAATTGCGATAATTGAAAAATGAAACCATTCCATCAGTATTTTCTTATGACGTTGTCACGTTCAACTATCGTCAGTAAGCCGACTTTACAGACAACCGATTTTTTTTTTTTTATTAAATTTGATTACTCGGAAATAAATATAGAAAATTAATATGTTTTGCTATTTTAATGTAAAGTGTACTTAGTTTTTATTTATTGCTTAGATGGATGGACGAGCTCGCAGCCCACCTGGTGTTAAGTGGTTACTGGAGCCCATAGTCATCTACAAGGTACATGCGTCACCCACCTTGAGATATAAGTTCTAAGGTCTCAGTATAGTTACAACGGCTGCCCCACCCGCCAAACCGAAACACATTACTGCTTCACAATAGAAATAGGCGGAGTGGTGGTACCTACCCGTGCGGACTCACGAGGTCCTACCACCAGTAATTACACAAATTATAATTTTTCGGGTTTAATTTTTATTACACAATTTTATTCCTTCACCTTGGAAGTCAATCGTGAAAATTTGTTAAGTGCCTAGGTACGTATTTGATTAGAAAAATTGGTATCAGCCTGCGGGATTCGAACACCGGTGCATCGCTAGATAAGAATGCAACGGACGTCTTATCCTTTAGACCAGGACGACTTCAAACGTAATGTAATGTCATACATTTTAATTAATTTTTAATTTTTAACACGCAGTAGTTTCACACGCTGTAATGCAACATACACCAGCGTCCCGGGCGCCATTAAGCAGGCCGAATGCAGGCAACATTGGAGGGAGCTGGTGCAAAAACTGGACCAAGGTGGTCACGACCCTCTGTAATGAGGAAACGACAAAGAAGAATGCACAATAATATGCACATAGCCTGTATATTATATGGCAGATAAATTGACCCTGGTACCTTCGGTGATTAATAATTAGCAAGGCCATAGATTAGCACTTTATCATATACTTGTCCGGCTGATTACTAATTGTTTCTCAAATTTGGATTTACTTCTTACCAATCACTGATTTAAAACTTTGAGAGACATACAAATTTTGTATGATAATTACAATAGTTTCCTAAACAAACAATCCTAAATGTTAAAAGTCAATTGGTTCAATCACATTAGGTATTTTTTAATTTTCTTTTTGAAATAACTTCTTTACTAAACATACCACTACTATACCTTAGGCCGGTTACAGTGCTCCACCGACCGTCTGTGCGTACGTCAGTCGCGCTTGTCGTTTATATGAAAATTCATAAATCATTACAGTGCTGGACTGACCGTACGCACGCGCATATTGCTACGCATTGCGTACGAGGACCGTCGGTCTAGCGCGTCCGCATGCGTGCCGTCGGTCTACCGACGCGCTATGGAAACAAATGAACGCGTTCTGTGCTGCACCGATGGGTGGACCGACCGTAAGGATGTGGGTATCATCATCAAAAAAAGCGATTTCGTATTGAACGTGGCCAAATATATCACCGAGCGCCTAATCACCGAAGTTCGTCTTCGTGAACCGCTCTGGGACAAAGGCCATGTGTTATATAAAGATCGCGATGCCAAGTTAAAGCCCTGGCAAGAAGTATGTGCTGACAATTCATCAAAACTTGATAGACATTCTGAAATAATTAAAAAAACTTGAACGCTCCTTAAACCTTTTCGAAAATAATAAGCAGCAATTAAGCTATTTGCAAACGCTTCCCTTTTGCGTACCGACTATACCAATTCGGTCAGATTATTGGTCAGGAGAGCACTGAATGAAACAAACTGACGATCGGTTAATGCGTACCGTCAGGACGGAACGTACGCACAGACGGTCGGTGGAGCACTGTAACCGGCCTTAGGCGGGAAAAGATTTTTTTTTTAAATGTTACATGTAAACTTTATTTCAAACAAGTATTTAATAAGGACATTGAATGATTGAAGCCTGTCTAATTTCAGATAACAATAAAACAATGAAAAAGGTCTTTATATCAGTGGTATTCTTCCGTGATAATGTTCTCCTTCTATAATGAAGTAACTGTGTTTACCAAAGTTTTAAGGTTAAGCAAAATTACATATTAATAATAAATAACAATCAAAACAATGTAGTGAGTACTAGACATAGAGAATAAAGTACATCATGTAATAGGGACAATAAATAACACATGGATGTTATGAATGGCGGTCAAGTAATCAAAATAAGACCAAGCCGTCAATAAGTGTTCTTTATATTGTAGCAGAAGGTCTAGTCATATTGAACTATGCAATCATGAGGTTTACTCTGCATACTTATACCAGTTTCCTACCTAACAGTGTACAAAATTTATTGATTTTCATATTTACTGCTGCTAGGGAGCATTATATGCACATTCCGCTGCCCTGTTTATTTTTAATGCAAAATAGTAATCTATTTTGGTTTAAAAGGGAAGTATTGTGTTATCAGCTACACAGATGCAACAACTGATGCTTTCATCAAAAATACATACATATTCCAATTCATCCCCAATGAGTAGGAGGACAATACATATTTTCCGGTGTGAACCTTTCTAGGCTCGGTGGTAATTTGAACATATCAAACTTAGGATTGTACACCCAAGGCAGGAAATGTGTCCGCCCGTTCGCATCTACTATGAGAGTTTCGCTCTGTACAGTGAGATCGTTTGACTTTTCATTTTGCAATTGTTCATACAAATTTTCCAAGGACGGTTCTGGCTGTTTTGTTTTCTTTCGTTTTTGTTGCTGAACTGTAAAAAAATTTTGTTTTATTGAATTTTGCAGATAAAATATAAAAATAGAAATATTGTTGATAATCTCATCACATTGACTGCACTATAAGTCACCGGTGCCCTACATGGGGCAGTGAAGTAATTATGTCAATTTTTCTTACTAAGCATCTGGATAAATTTGCCTTCTATTGTTTTTAATCTATGTTTTAGTCTTTTAGGTCTCTAGAAAATGATTCCTCTTTCCTAAAGTCTACTACATATTCCAGCGCCTTAGTAAATAGAGTGATTGATAATTTTTTTATTGCTTAGATGAGTGAACGAGCTCACAGTCCACCTGGTGTTAAGTGGTTATTGGAGCCCATAGACATCTACAACGTTAATGCGCCACCCACCTTGAGATATAGTTCTAAGGTCTCAGTACAGTCACAACAGCTACCCCACCCTTCAAACTGAAACGCATTACTGCTTCACGGCAGAAACAGGCGGGGTGGTGGTACCGCGGACTCACAAGAGGTCCTACCACCAGTAAAAACCAGTAAATACTTCAGTATGCCACATAAGACACCGGTGACCTAAATGACAGTCGACATGTTGGTATGGTTTATTATGTTAAGAAAACACATCTAAGTGCAAGTAAAGATTGTTACCTTGTAGTTTCAAATTATCTAATTCCTCCTTCGTGTAATGCGAGTACCTGCATATTGGTCCGAACGAACAATTTCCACTCATAAATCTGGTGCATTGTATTTTCTTACTCTCTTCTAATATAATAGTCTCTGGATCTGCAATTTACATTAAAGAACCACTTCATAAAATTTTGTAATTTTTAAATAAATAAGATTTAAATTTAGGTTTTAAGTGTTTCATTTTTCTATTTTTTCTATTTAGACTGTTCTCACAGTCATTCTGGTTGAAAATTGTTACCAGATGTCAAGGACAACACAATGTCTGGAATCAACCATGTACGGGCTCACATTGTTCTGTAAATAATGTAATGATTTGATTCTTTTTTGTTTTTGTATAGGTGAGCCACGTCACTTATGAGCATTAGCATTGCCAGGAAACAAACCACTGCCTATCGCTGAATACTCTTTTATAATACAACCTGTATTCGAGCCTAGTACAGACTCCAGCTCTCTTGAAGGTTTTATCTTATGTTGATAGAAATTTGTAATTTAGTTAGCAAACCTCTTCAAGTAAACATTCATGTGAAGAACAGGACTTTTTGCTCTTTGGCTGGGTGTTTATTACCTATATAACAATATGTATTTAAGTATGTATGTCAGTATCTAGTACCCATAACACAGGGTATCCTAATTTGAGGCCAGATGATCGTGCATGATTCGTTCCCAGTTATTTAATTATTATTGTATTGCATATTAGTATAAGAGAACCTTTATGAGCATGCATTTTATTGCTTAGCTTGGTACAACTTTTGTAGTAACTTATCTTTAAATACCTTTATATTCTTGATAGTGTTCATGTAGCAATTTCTGATGTTCCAATCCTTTATTGTGTGTTTTTATTATTGCCGGCGTAGCAACCATAGACTTATCGCAGTAGTCACAGTAATACTTTTTACCCATTTTATAATTGTAGTAAGCTAATCAATTTAATGATGTCTCTCTCTCTCTCTTAGGTTTATGGCGTTTCCTTTTAGATTTCGCCAATGTCAAGTGTATTTAATACTCTGCTTTCTATAGCGGGCTTCGTGAACGAGCAAGGTCACAGATAGTCACTAAGAATTAAGTGAGTAGCTCAGAATGTATGATGACAGGATCTCTGTTGATATACCTAAAACAAACGCACACAATATATATACAGGGGTTAGTTCGATAACAGACAGACAAACTACAGCTTAATATTATTATGGTTAATGAATGAACTAAGCATATAAACGAAAGGGGAGTTGACAAGGGAAAGAAGAGATTTGAGATCAATGGGGCGAGGAATATCAGGAGGAAGGAGATCATAGAGGGAGGAAGATAGATGAGGACAACTGAAAAACATGTGATTTGGAGAGCCTTCGTCAAGACCATTCGCAAATAGAACTATCCCTGATATGAAGTTTAGCCAGATGGACGGGGGTACACGTATGGCCTAGCCTTAATCTACAGATCGTACTTGTAACGCGTTTATGTAAATCTTTGAAGTTGCAGAACCAAGGTCGGGGAGGAATAAATCCTTGAATATCAGCGTAGTGTTTACCTTTAGAAAAACTAGTCTTTTGCCAACAAGAATTCAAAGAAGAAAGCAATCGTTGTTTAGCTATTGGGAGTAAATCATTAGAATAAACTCTGTAATGATTCATACAGCCAGTTGTTATGGCGTCTTTGGCACAAAGATATGCAGTTTCATTACCTAAAATGCCACTGTGGCCAGGCAACCAAGCAAAATTTAATGATGCGAATATTTTATCAAAATTACCCCCACAAAATAACTGACGTTTTTTTGTTTTTTTTTTAATGATTTTATGACCTGGTAACTAAGACCTTTAAGTCATGTATTATTTTATTTTATACTAGCAGCCCGCTCCGGCTTCGCTTGGGTCTTTAACAAAAAGGAGAAACCTGAAATCCATACAAACTTGGACCTGGCGTTACAGTGCTAGAATTTGGACATAAAATACAATACCTAAGAAGGTTTCATGAGCCCAATTTTCAGGTCTCCCAGCAATGGCCAAATTGGTAAATTCAGACAATGTTTACATTTTAGGTTATGTTTATTGTTCGAGATATTTTAATAAAAAACTATATTTTTAAACGATATTTGTTTCCTACTAAAGATGAGTAATTTTTTACGAAACCCGTTGCAGCAGCAAGTTGCTTTGAAAATAAAAATGGAACCTGTTACGAGAAATCGTGCATTAGGTTGTTTACGAAAACGAACGAAAGCCAAAATTAAAAACAACTTAATGCGAATTATTGCGAATTGCGAAACGCGCTGCGCACGAAATGATTTTTTTAAGAGATTTTATGACCTAGTAACTAGGATTTTTAGGTCAGCCTTATTTTAATTTTAATGAAAACTTTTTTATCGATCCTATTTTAGGGATGCTCTAATTCTAACTCACACGTTTGTGGAGCTAGTTACGTATATTGAAATAAGTGTTGCAGATGTTTACAAAGATTGTTTAAAACAAAAAAATAGAATTCAACTTATTTTCTACACTTGGCCATTGTCAATGAAGCTAAGATTTCAATAGGTTAATCAAGAAAAATAGACAAATTTTTTGGTACATATCCCATTCGTGTAACGCTTAGGCCCAGAATGGGGTTTCTCCTTTCGACGACGTTGTTTTATTTTTTTATATAAAAGAACACTTATTGCGGCACAACTTTAATAGGTAGACATATGCTGTCGCGCCACTTTTTGTAAATAATAACATGTTCTACAAAGTCGTAGTACATTATTTTATTCTATCATCAAAAGTTTTCGCAGGGCACGCAATGTACAGATATTTTAGGTATTTTTTTATACCTTTATTGGAGTTTTAGTAAGGATCCCTAATTTTTTTCAAAAAATATTATAGCCTATGTCACTCGAGAATAGTGTACCTTCCAAACAGTGAAATAATTTTTCAAATCAGTTCACTAGTTTCGGAGCCTATTCAATACAAACAAACAAACAAATCTTTCTTCTTAATAATATTAGTATAGATTCTTAATTTTATGAAAAATGATAATATGGAGGGACATGAAATGAAATGAAATTAATCAACTGGGATGAAATTAAATAAAATGAGATGAGATGATATGGGATGAAATATATTATAATCTCAGTAAAATGATGGTCTCTTACTGAAATTTTTTCAGTGGACTTTTTGGAGGATCCCGAGAAGTTACGTTCAGCGGCTTTGTTTCATTTTCCCACATTTGCGTACTTTCACAGATACTAAACAGTTATTAAACCACCGTTATTACACATTTAAAAATGAAGAAACACTAAATAGACAAAATAAAACAAATCACACAGCTTCACTCCTGTCCCAAAAGGTCCTTGTTATTATTTATTTAATATTGATTTTATTGATCACCATTTTTTTTTATCATACAAAACGAAGCCCATGCACCCAAATATTTGGTCACAAAGATGGCAGTTATATCGCATGAAAAGTGGAATGGAACATAATGAAATTAAATGAGATGAAGTAAAAATATACCGTAATCTTGGTTTAGAAGAAATGAAAAAATCTCTCAGTAAAATAATGGAAATTTACAGAGACTTCAGTTGATATTTAATTTTGAGAGAACGAGAAGGGAATTTTATTTACCCTTAATTGTGCATTTAATAATTATATACAAAAAAATAATTACGTCACATAATCAATCACAAATATGGAAGGTAGAACTAAGGAGTACCATCTCAGTATTTAAAAAAGTGTCCACTGAGAGGGAAACAATTATTATGGAGGCGCCTTAATAGCAAGTGGAAAGATTTTAAAAACAGCGCCATAAACTACCACAGCTCGGCTATGTTCCGAGGTGCACTATGAGCACTGTGTGATGTCAAATTACTATATCATCATCATGGAGATCATGGAGAATATAAGTAAGAAGTACCATCTTGTAAAGACAATAAGTTGAAAAAGTGTCCACCCATAAATAGCAAGTTCTTTTTTGAAGCAGCGCTGGTGTAGGAAGTGGACATGATACTTATGAGCATAACAGTTCTAAAAACAGAGTGAAGTTTATTGGATTGAAGTGAAGTGTGGTAGTTTATGGCAACGTTAAAATCCTTCCACTTGCTATAATAGCGACACCTTAACTTTTTTTCTTGGACTTGTATTCGCTCGCTTTCAGCGAACACTTTTTAATACACTGAGATGGTACTCTTTATGTCTATCCTCCGTATTGAGCAACAACCTTTTCTCACAAAGCTAGCAGTTGCAAACACAAACAATTTTTTTTTTAAGTTTATGGCCTGGTATCTAGACCTTTAGGCCAAAACACAAACAATAATATTTGCATAATGTTGTAACTAGTAGCAACAGAACCTCTGTAACTTTGGTAGAATTTATTTAAAATTTTGGACATGAGAATATCATAATCAATAGGTCAAACTGTACCTATCCCTTTTTTTCTAAATTTTAAAAAAAATAATTTTCTGTATCAAGGGCCATAATTTTTAAACTCAATCTTTACCTTAATTTTTTGTTAAAATGTGTACTACTATTATGGTAAGTTTTCACTTAACTAGCTTGGTAACTGATTTCAAAGTGACGTTTATTTAATAAAATCAGCTGAACAATGCATTTTTTGTTTATTTCTGTAAAAGGGAAATGAATTTTAATTATAAATACTACTTGTAAATAAATAATCTGTTATAATACATAAAATGCGTGAAGCTTATAATTTTGTGTTGTTAGCAAGTTACAGTGTACTTTTTGCTTTTGTGTAAACTATTATTTTTGTTAATTTTATTGTTGAACAATGTTCGGAAGACCGAGATGTAGGGAGTGGACTCCACTTTCTACACAACAGCTACGCTTAAGAAGCCTAATTCAGGTAATAAAGTGATAAACTAGCATGAAGCTTACAAACAAACGCCTACAAATTACGATAATCACTGCGAGTGTACGAAGGCCGTGATAGGTGGTTTGTAATAACATTCCCTTAATCGTAAATTTAAAATAATTAAATCTTTATACATAATTGTAGTTTATTTTCGTAAATTAATTTCATAACATAGTGTATTTATATGTTCGAAATACAAACGCGGTAATCGCTATCCAACGCATTTTAAATATTTATACTTTCTTTTTATGTTTATACAGAAAAAAAACCTTGTTATCATCATAATACGGTATATTATGTTTTTAATAATTATCTGAAATATCCTTGTATCATTATTAAAATATATAACCCTTGACTTCTTACTAAAATTTTATTGATTTGTTTTAAAGTAAATTGGGTATAATAATTGAGTACAGAGTCATTATCTAAAAGTATAAATTGTATTACTGTTCTGGTAGATAGGAGGCTACTTCTTACTAGTACATCATTGTTGCTGTCGGTAAGGCATCTTGTGTGTCCTCATTGGTAGGCAACACCACAGTGGCTATTTCTACTCTGTACTAGTAATAAATTCCATTTTCAAGGGCTGACAGTTGTTATATTATATAAATTATACTTAGACCTCATCTCTGAACTAATCTGAAAGTATACAATATTCGCGTTGTGATATCTATGGGTTCTGATAACCATTTAACAATGGGGGTGTCTCGCAAATGCTCTTACAGCAAAACTCACTAGATCTTTTGATCATCCTTCATAATCGACTAATCATTAAAAAAAAGTCATAAAATTTGCAATAAAGTAATGGAATAATTAAAATTACTTAAATATCCAAACATTTAAAGTTTTTTTTTTTTTTTTTTTTCTAAATATTTCTGGAATTTCCACAATTTGGTATTCCCAATGATAATTAGGTACCATTATTACCCAGCCAAGATGATTTTGAAGTATTCAAGTGTTTTCTCTATTTGGCGCCAAAGTAATTAATAAGAATAAAATATGTAATAACTTATCACAAGTACAAAGAGTGACTTTATCGCTTCAAGCGATCTCTTTCAAACAATTATTGCATGAAAGGGATGCATAAAAAATTAAATTGTGGTACATAACTATATTAGCAATATTTTAGACTAATAAAGATAGGATAGGATAATGTGATAATAATTTTTTGAGAGATTGGGGAACATCGTGATGTACATCAAATCAGGTCCAATGCTACATAGTGAACCAACCGCTAGGGCGTAACAACTGAGAAAAAGAATATTATGTTGTAACATTAAAATGATATTCATATTTGAATGTTAATGCCCATTTCTGCTGTGAAGCAGTTTCGGTTTGAAGGGTGGGGCAGCCGTTGTAACTATACTGAGACATTAGAACTCATATCTCAAAGTGGGTGGCCGCATTTAGTTGTAGATGTCTACTTGCTCCAGTAGCCACTTAACACCAGGTGGGCCGTGAGCTTGTCCAACCATCAAAGCAAAAATAAACAAAATTATAATAATACAAAATTACATCAAATGACCAATTTCATTATCGAACGAAGGCTAATTTTATACATATAATGTACTTATTAATAGAATTATCAAAAAGTCAAGGTTGCCTTATTACTAGAAAAATACAAACCTGTTTTTTTATTTTTTTATTTTTTGGAGGATTGCAATATTAATTTAATTTAAGACATTTTGAATTGAGTATTCTAATGATATCAGGTACAAGGAAGAGAGAGACAAGTTTTGTATAAAATTTGATAATAGTGTGCACAAAAATAAAATGTCCACAAAAAACACTTTACCGTGACCTTTAAAACTGCAAAATGCATTGTGATATTAAAGATTAAAAACAGTCTTAATTATGTCGACGTCTCGTGTAATACAATTTAACAGTATATTAAAATTTTTAAACATCTATATATATAAAAGAAAGTCGTGTTAGTTACACTATTTATAACTCAAGAACGGCCGAACTGATTTGGCTGAAGATTGGTGAGGAGGTAGCTTAGAACCAGGAGAAGGGTATAGGGTACTTTTTATCACGTTCCCGTGGGACGTGACATAAAACGTGTTATAACAAAACGCAACTGATATGGAATAACAAAACGCAACTGACAGCTAAACGTTCTATGGTTAAATAAAGTAAAATTTTGAAGTTGACCGGTTGATGTGTTTGAAACAAACCGTGTGGCGGAACAAAGTTCGCCGGGTCCGCTAGTAAGAAATAAAAGAAGATAACTATGAATTGTAGATTAAAAACGAATATGAAAAAGTACACCATTGGTCTTGGTGCTTAGCATTAGCTTGCACCGCTTGGATATAGTGAAATGTGAAAATCGTGGTAGGAAATGCCCTTCTTCAAATGAGGCTTGTGGAGAGTATTAAACGGTAGGCAGCAGCTTGGCTCTGCCCCTGGCATTGCTGAAGTCCATGAGCGACGGTAACCACTCACCATCAGGTGGGCCGTATGCTCGTCTGCCGATACGGCAATTAAAAAGAAAAGGAACCCGATAATATTTTTTTTTGTAGATAGCCTAGCCGAAAATAGGCAATTTGAATCATAAATATCATAACATTTAATATATTTTCCAAAATAAATACATGGAAACAAATCACGCACCGTCAACCCGTCCCAATTTTGGATTCTCGGTGTTATGGGTATCAGAGACTGACATATAATATACGTTTCGGAGACGGTCATTAGTTTGGTAGCTTTTTTTTTTCCTACCTAAGCTGATAGCCTTGAGACGCTATATCAGTGGTACCTTACCTAGTAGGTGAGCTCACGGGGCTCAAACATGACGACATTGCTAACACGAACCCTAGCAAGAGCCGTGCTTCGCAGAATCTACCACCGGATCGGAAACGCGACCCAATGTGAAGATCCGGCGAGAAACTCAGTGGGCTGTGTCTGAGGGCTAATTTTGGTAGCAAAACGTCGCACAGCACGATTTTCGGGAGGTGAACACAATCGTAATGACGTCGGGGCTCGGCTAACTTCGTGCTACGACAGAGCCTAGCCGATGGAGTCGCGCATAGACGCCATTACACTTATCAACCAGCCTTCTTGAAGAGCGATGCCTCCATCCTAAGAACTGTCATTCGTTTGAAGATTTCTAAGTTATTCTAAGACAAAAAACGTCTTTTGTGTGCTCAATATTTCTCTTAACTCGATCACCCTATTCGCCCCTATGATATCTGACGATGGTCTTAATGATGCGGTTTCTCCGACATTCATTTATAGATACTAACACCCAGACAAAGAGCGAACAAACCTGTTCATCACACGATTGTTTGCCCGACGCGGGAATCGAACCCACGAACCTCGGCCTCGGCACAAGAGTCAGGAGCGCTAATTATTGCACCACCGAGTCAACCAGTAAAATCAGTAAAGCCAATAAAATATATACAAACTCTTCAATCTTCAACCTCTTGTGAGTCCGCGCGGGTGGGTACCACCACCCTGCCTATTTCTGCCGTGAAGCAGTAATGCGTTTCGGTTTGAAGGGTAGGGCAGCCGCTGTAACTATACTGAGATCTTAGAACTTATATCTCAAGGTGGGTGGCGCATTTACGTTGTGGATGTCTATGGGCTCCAGTAACCACTTAACACCAGGTGGGCTTTGAGCTCGTCCTCCCATCTAAGCAATAAAAAATAAAAAAACTAAAGCATCTCATCTACAAAGTCTAGTATTACTCGTAATGCCTATTGAATAAATGTCTAATATGATTATGAATTGCAACTTCGTATTGCGATTACAACAACGCCGTAATTTCTCGCCCGGTTTACGAATGCACCTTTAACATTTCAAATTGAATGATAACATTAATAATAAAACAATCTTAAGATTATTCTGATTATGAAGATATAGCGACCCGCCCTCGCTTCGCTTCGGAAACATTAAAACACACATGAAACCAAAAAAATATTTTTTTTTTTTTTTTTAAAAAGTAGCCTATGTTCATCAGGGACAATGTCGGCTTCTAATGGAAAAAGAATTTTTCAAATCGGTCCAGTAGTTTCAGAGCCTATTCAATACAAACAAACAAACAAATCTTTCCTCTTTATAATATTAGTATAGATTGTGCATTATTTTAGTGTGGAAAAAAAACGGTCGGTCGCTTATTGATATCAGCCATCCTAAGGGTACAGCCAAACCGCTGCCTAAAATAAGATTTTCAAATCAGTTTGCGTGTTGGCTTTCCTTATTATCTGTTAAAGGCTTAAAGTTTTTACTGGTTGTAGGACCTTTTGTCCGCACGGGTAGGTACCATCAACCTGCCAATTTCTGCCAAGAAGCAGTAATGCGTTTCGGTTTGAAGGGCGGGGCAGCTGTTGTAACTATACTGAGACCTTAGAACTTATATGTCAAGGTGGGTGGCGCATTTGCGTTGTAGATGTCTATGCCCTCCAGTAACCGCTTAACGCCAGGTGGGCTGTGAGCTCGTCCACCCATCTAAGCAATAAAAAAGGTGCTTTTGCTAATGTTAAATTATTTGAACAGTTAATTCATAATTAATCAAATATTTAATCAGATGAATGTATTTTTCTGACACTAACAGATAATTGAGATCATGGACATGAACCTTTGACATGTACTATTTTTTTTTTTTTAATTACATTTAATTTCAAAGAATTTGTTCCCGGTATAAAGTAGTTGGCATGGCGATACATATTCGCAAGTGTCTACAATTCCACAAGTAATAACAAACTTACATTTTCTCTTTCAGATCGTCGGCTACAATATACGACCACCTGAATCTTACCCGGTCCAGTGCAGTTTCTACTTAACCCTGCATCACACCACCATGTCTGCCCCGTTTTACACCAGCGAGAGGATATGCTCGCCGCATCCGAAATGGAAAGAGATCGACTCTGGTATAGTAACCGTGATAGATGACAAATGATTCCTTGTTTAGCTTAGGAATTGGGCCACTCAAAATAATGGAAGGCGGCTCCGGAATAACTTCAATATTATACGTTACTAGCTGACCCGGCAGACTTCGTAATGCCTCAATCGATAAATAAAAGACCTAAACTTATGTATAAAATAAACTTAAAACAAACAAAAGGAATCCGTCCGACGGGGGACACATCAAAGGAAAAACAAAATTGATATTTTTATTTAATTCCGAGCATTTTCATATTTATCTACCTTTTAAACCTTCTCTGGACTTCCACGAATAATTCAAGACCAAAATTAGCCAAATCGGTCCAGCCGTTCTCGAGTTTTAGCGAGACTAATGAACAGCAATTCATTTTTATTTTTATATTATATAATATATAAGATAAGATTAATCAAAATTAGTTAATTGTAACAAATAGTGTAACGACAATAAGAAAATAGATTAAACCTTTAAATTACTTTTAATTGTGTATACAAATCGCGAAAACCGAAGACGATATAATATAATGCGAAATAGTCCCATGTTTTCGGACAATCTATGACACATGACTTTAAGTGAGTTTATTGCCCATGGATTGATTGATTGAGTCGAATGAGAATTCGTATTGTGACTGACAATAACGGCTCTCTGGTGTAGTGGTAAGTGACACGGTTACCTACTACACAAGGGGTTCGCCGGTTCGAATCCCGCCAAGGGAAGATATTTGTATGATAAATATAAAAATGTCTTTTCCGGGGTTATGTATGTATGTTAAATGTATGTATGTGTAAAATAAAAATCTTACATTTATTTCCGTTATCTGGTACCTGTAACGCAAGTTCTTTACGAACTTAGCACAGGACCAGTTAACGTGGCGTGATTGTTAGTAAATATTTATTATTTATATACATTGTATATTGAACAAGAATGCATCGTGGCAGAAATAGGCAGGGGGGTGTTTGCATATCTGTGATGGCTTGCAAAACGTGTCACTAGCCAATACTACTTACTAGGTCAGGTCAGGAATTGGATATATTTTACTGGTACCCGTGCCGTGATAAAAAATTGAACCACTGCATTTGATTAATGTCATTAAAATGGGTAGCCTTTGTTGATTCGACGCTTATAATACGGGCCAAAAAATACTTTTGTGTTGGTACGGCGGCATTCCGTTTTAAATTACAAAGTAAATTACGACAATGTGAGTGTAAATTACATTATGCTGGTAAATGTGTCACTAAAATGACTCATAATTGTGTTCAATTGCGTATTACGTAATTAGGTTAATAGTTATCTAGAAATAATTAATGCCGGCGCTGTTTAGTTTGATTGAAGGGACTGTTTAATGTTTCGTCTTGCAGATGTGCTAAGATAATGAGCGTTTTTGTGAGTACTTTTGTGTGTACGAGGAAAGAAATGTTCGCATTAGATTGCGCCCAGAAATCGTTCAGAAGGGCTTGATTTGTCACTTTTCCAGTTGCAAAGATCTTTTGAAACATTATCGCGTTGAAATATGAGAATTTGGCCGCATATTTGTGACCTTTATCTCTCGCAAGACAGAATTAACCGCCATAGTAATGTCGAAAACTACTTAAAAGCTGTGATTCCGAACAGGTAACGCTAGGAAAAGGAAGCTTTTAAAAGTTGTAGTATACGTCGCGATATTAAGCTGCCGTCATGTCCTGAAGGCGATGCACCACACATGGTAGTTTCTTCGATTTTCGCGACTAGCAGAGTCGAAGTTATCGCGGTCTAAAAGATAAGATGACCTATGCATTTGTATCGGGCGATGCGACTCGCTTCGTTCCGTATTATTAGTTTTTTTTATACCTAGCTTGTAACCTAGGGGGCTATGACAGCGTAACCGGGCGAGTAGGGGAGTTCACGGGTGCTCTAATCTGGGGACGTTGCTAGCAAAAGCAGTGCTTCGCAGAATCTACCACGGGTCGGAAACGCAACCCACTGAGAAGACCCGGCGAGAAACTCAGTGGGCTGTGTCTGTGGGTTAATTTACTCGCCGAGCCCTTCGTCGCAAGCGACGGGTTCGACGAGAACGATGACCGGTGCTTGGGGTACCTAAAAACGGATCGGGAGGATCCGAAATGACGTGTTTTGGGCGACGTCGACTGTTTACCATTTGGTCCGCAGGATCGGCTATGTAGTTACCGGCGGCCACGATGAGAGGGTTCTCGTGTCGTGCTGCTTTATCGAAATGGCGCATTGATGCCGACTGTACTTACTGATGGACTCTAGGTCCAGGTCGTCGGGAAGGTCGACGTTCCTGACGAACCACGGGGCTCCGACGGCTATCCTGTAAAAACGGGATTGAATGGTTCGAAGGGGTTTGAAGTTTGTGCGGGTCGCATGAGCGAACATACACTTGCATAGGTCATGACGGGTAATTTACTCGCCGAACCCTTCGTTGCAAGCGACGGGTTCGATGAGAACGATGACTATATTATTAGAGTAAACCTTATCGTATCATTAACCCAACTTTTATTAACAGAAATAAACTTGTTTAGGAGTTATCAAAACTTTGCCGATGTGACTCATTTTTCCGGATATCTCAATCGAATGACGTATGCGTAAAACAATATTTTTTTTATCTCTTACAGAAATAACTCATAATATGTCATCAACGAACGTTGTTATAAGGATATGGTGTCACACATTACACCCCACCGAGCAGTGTAATAACACACAAGATACGGTTATACAGACTTGGGGGGTTTATTTTAGCGGTCTCCGATATATAGGGGCGAATTTAGCCTCGAATTTCACGTCCGATTGCTTCAAATGCAACACGCTTGTGTTTCAAATGCACGGTGGTCATTTTTGCTCGTACAAAAGTCTCAAGTTAGACGTTATCCCCCCGGAGAACGAATTGGATCAGGGGTCGCTGTCATCGGATTCGTCGGGGCGAACGAATCTATCGAGAACTACTTTAGAATCGAGATTGGTTTCGGATTCGAAATTACTTCATGCGAGATCTATATCGCCCGGTAAACGCGGCAGGAAACCGGATAAAGAGTACTCGAAAAGCCACAGTCCAATAGAAAAGACGTTTCATCAGAACTTTCCAACAATCCGACCGTCGGCTAGTTTGATTATTACCCAAAATAGATTAAGGGATAATAATGTTGAAATAGGTAAACGTAAAGAGAATCCGAGTAATATTTATGAGTATTCACCTGATTACATGGACGTTAAAGAATTCACAGAGGACCGATACAACAGTTACTCCAAGGAAACGTCCCACGAAGACTTGTCGCAGAGTAAAATCGATTGCAGCGAAACCGCCGAGAATTACGACCTGCGAAACGAATTGGACGGTATCCCGAAAATCCGATATATGACCATGAATTTCTTGAAATCGGAGATCAGGCCGAGCTACAACGCGGCGAAGCTGCAGAAGCTGCATCTGTTGCAGTATTCGATAAAGAAGAAGCAAGAGGCGGTCGAAGAGATCAAGGAGAGGATCTACAAGAAGTCCGCCCTGACCGACGGCCGGTCCCCGTCTGACGAGAAAGAGTTCTTGTTGCGCGGCAAGAGTAGATCGCAAAGAAATCTGTTTAGTCCGGATGATAATAGTTTGAATAGAGAAAAGTCGGCGTCACAAAGCGATTTGAATGTTAAAAATGGTAGGATCAAAGAAGAAAGGCCGCTGTCAAACGGACCTAGACTTACTTTGAAACTGAACGATCTCCTATCTTATAAGGTAGGTAAATTTCATTAATATAATTTACTAGCTATTATGCGCGACTCCGTCCGCGTGAATAGTAACTTTGGGATTGGGGTGTTCGAATCCCGCAAGCAGGTACCAATCTATCCAATGAAATATAATATGTATTTTACAAATATTCACGATTGACTTCCACGTTGAAGGAATAACATCGTGTAGTAAAAATCAAACCCACAAAATTATAATTTGCGTAATTACTGGTGGTAAGACATATTGTAAGTCCGCACAGGTAGGTACCACAACCCCGCCTATTTCTGCCATGAAGTTAATAATGCGTTTGGGTTTGAAGGGGTATTGTAACTATACTAAGACCTCATATCTCAAGGTAGGTGGCGGCATTTACGTTGTAGATGTGTATGAACTCCGGTAACCGCTTAATATCTGGTGGGCCGTGAGCTCATACACCCAACTAAGCTGTAAAAAAAAACAGGCCGTCACCCAGCTCAAGAATTGATGGTCGATCTTTTGAACTATCGATGACCACAGAACTGGGTTCCGTATTAGTATTTTCACACCGAAGATACACATATGACTAAAAAAACATTACTACTGATCCCCAGACAAAGCCATCTCCATTTCAAAGGGCGGAACACGTGAGACTGATGAAACAAATAGAGATATTAAGATTTAAACGTATAATACTATCAGACGAAAGAGACAGCAAGCTAGCGAACATAAGGAGACTGAAAGAGAGGCACGCTAAATTGTCCGAGGCGAATCAGGATGTTGGTAAGATCTCAGAACTCGCTAATATAAATAAACAAACAGATATGCACAAGTTAATAATTTATGTATATATAAATGGGAGAGAGAGTATTTGGCATGCTCGAGCGAACATGCAAGCAAATATGCTTCCGATAAAAACCGTTGGGGATGACTTATGCACAGCGCATAGTGTGATCATTTGTTGGTATGGCAACACACGCCAAAATTAGTATGGCAATTCCTATTGCGTATTTGGATCATTAATTATGTGCACAAATGATTTTGGGAAAAGCCCACTGAATCCTTATTAAATTCCCATCATGTTACCGGTAAGGTACACTATATGATTTTATCATATCTCATATTATCGTTTCATTTATAATAAAACAGAGTTTTTATTATTATTATTGTGGACTTTAAAACTCTACACTGACAACAAGCGCATCATATTTTAGGCAACAGCTTGGCTCTGTCCATAGCATTGCTGACGTCCATGAGCTATGGTAATCACTCACCATCAGGTGGGCCCTATGCTCGTGCTACCTTAAAAGGCAATAAAAAAACACGTAGCCATATTGATTTTTTTTTTTTTTTCAAAACTGCAATTTTCATATATGCGAAGGATCCTCGTGATTTTTTGCTTCATGTTGTTAGCTATACTTGAGACCTTAGAACTTATATCTCAAGGTGGGTGGCGCATTTATGTCGTAGATGTGTATGGGCTCCAGTAACCACTTAACACCAGGTGGGCTGCGAGCTTCCATGTAAGCAATAAAAAAAAAATAGCATGGTATCTTTTTTTTTTTTTTTTTTGTTTAGATGGGTGGACGAGCTCACAATCCACCTGGTGTTAAGTGGTTACTGGAGCCTGTAGACATCCACAATGTAAATGCGCCACCCACCTTGAGATATAAGTTCTAAAGTCTCGAGTGTATTTACAACGGCTGTCCCACCCGTCAAACCGAATCTTTTGCGAATGTAAGGTTTTTCTTTTGTTTGTTAAGGTTCGGAATTAATGGAGAACTATCACACGTTATCGCGACGCACGGATTCGCTCAAGGAGACGAGACAGAACTGCGGGGCTCTGCGGGAGCTGGCCGGTCGCTCGCACTCGGCCTTGAGGAACAGGCGATGCGAGCTGTTGCTGATGCTGCACCACATATTCTACGTCGAAGAGGTCTGTTGACTGGGGCAGTGGTGGTGGTGGTCATGGCCATCCCAGTCTTTGGGTTGGAATGGCTGTGACTGCTATGCGATATGATCGTGGTGCCCTTAAATATCCCATCAGAGGCTTTATTAGTTCATACCGGTGTACTGTGTGTTTAACTGGTGGTAGGACCTCTTGTGAGTCTGATATGTCTTAGCGCTAAGAATATCTTGTTCATTCCCAAGCCGGATGGTACACGGAAGATGTGTGAAAACACACTGATAAATTAGCGGCTCGACATACGAGCTCACAGCCCACCCGGTGTTAAGTGGTTACTGGAGCCCGTAGACGTCTACAACGTAAATGCGCCACCCATCTTGAGATATAAGTTCTAAGGTCTTAATTATAGTTACAACGGCTGTCCCACCCTTCAAACCGAAACGCATTACTGTTTCACGGCAGAAATAGGCAGGGTGGTGGTACCTACCCGCGCGGACTCACAAGAGGTCCTACCACCAGTAAATACGCAAATAAAAATTTGCGGATTTGATTTTTATTGCACGATGTTATTCCTTCACCGTGGAAGTCAGTCAATCCTCAACATTTGTTGAGTACGTATTTCATTAGAAAAATTGGTACCCGCCTGCGGTATTCGAACACCGGTGCATCGCTACATACGAATGCACCGGACGTCTTATCCTTTAGGACGACTTCAAAATGATCTGACTGACTGAACTGACTGATTTGCCAATAATTGTTGGGCCGTGTTACGCAAACCAGTTTTACAGGACAATATCTGTCACGGCTGATTCACGGCAGACATAGGCCCTGGGTTCCCAAGATGGTCTACAACCAATATTTTGTTTCGACAATGATATTCGAAGTTGCGTGTTACAGAGAAGCCCATCGAAATGGTCAATAGTAAACGTTCCGTTGCCCATATGCGGGGACGAGAGCACCCGAGCGACCCCCGTGAGCGACTCCGTGGCGGCGGGGTTCGTAGCGCAGGCCACGTGTCTGGCGGCCTCCCTGCTCAACCAGCCCCTGCGCTACAAGATAACCCTCCTCGGATCCGCCAGCAAGATACTGGACGAAACACCCGATCTCCCGGATCCGAAGTGAGCTATTTATTTGAACTTATTGGGTTTCAAGGGGAAGTTTAATTATTTATACTTTATGCACAAGACAAAAGTTGTACACAGGCGGACTTACCGCCATGGGCATTCTCTTCCAGTCGACCATAGGGTGGTGCAAAGATAATGCATGGTAGGTGCATTAACAAAATAATAACAAACAACAACAAAAAAACAAAAAAAGAACAAAATCAAAACAAAAAACAAAAATCTTCCTTAAACTAACATCGAAGTATTATAGAATACACATAATGTTAAATATATGTACTTATATAGATTACATATGATTTGTTTTGAAAGAGAAGTTTGTAGAGTTCCAAAATAGTGATTATGTTCTTTGAGCACCTTTATTATCTTAGTAAAGTAGAGATTGAGTACGAATGGTAGCGTGTTAACGAGTCAGTGTTGCTAAGTGCACTGCGCCAAGAATGCAATAAAATAACCTGACACCACAATGACGACGCCCGACAAATCAATGCACTGAGTTAGGCATGTACAAACCGACTGAACAAGTGGTCCCTCTATAGTCGAAATTCGACCATAATTAATTGAAATTTCAAGATTGGACATTATTATGGTTCTCTTGTCATAGACTATTTAAACTTCTATAATCACAGATTACGCCCAGGATAGACAAATAATATTAAAGACAAACAATATTAACCTATTCTCAATTTGACCACAGACTTTAAGAAATAACAAAAGTTTGACAATAAACAAAGAGTTATATACGTGTGTGTGTCAAATACATGGTAGTGTCTGTAATGTTTTTTTATTGATTTAATGATTTTTTAAGCATAATTTAAAAAAATATTAACACTCTGCACTCCTTCTCTATATTATCTATAAGTGTGAGTAATTTCATACTCCTCCGTTCGTGTAATTTTCGTAAAAAGGGGTACAAAGTTTTTGCTTCACGTATCAATATTATATTTGAGGGTAGATTCGTTATTAGTTCAATATGTAGTGAGCCTGCACGGGTAAATACGATGAATAATTTCATACTTCTCCGTCCGTGCAATTTTTGTAAAAAGGGGTACAAAGTTTCTGCTTCACGTATCAATATTATATTTGAGGGTAGATTCGTTATTAGTTCAATATGTAGTGAGCCTGCACGGGTAAATACGATGAATAGCTTCTTGAGTGACTAGTTCACGCAAGACTCTGAACTGGATCTCACTTATCCACCTACAGAATGAAAGCCTAGTAACCCTGGTAAGTCTACTAGTCAAATCGAGGGTTTCCACGTGAAACTTAACCCATAACATCGCTGAGCTCTGAATTATTTTTACCCAAGAAACTGCCTATTTCTACTGTAAAGCAGTAATGCGCTCCGATTTGAGAAGTTGCAGCTGTTACTGTGAGACTTCGGCTACACGTCTGAGGGTGGCTGCATGCTACTCCACCAGTCTCTACAGCAAGGCTTCCCTTGTGCTCCGACTCGAGGATTTGGTGTAGTGGTTTTACTGTGAGACTTCGGCCACCTTAAAGTCGTCGTGGCCCAAAGGATAAGACGTCCGGTGCATTCGTATCTAGCGATGCACCGGTGTTCGAATCCCGCTGGCTAGTACCAATTTTTCTAATGAAATATGTACTCGACAAATGTTCACGATCGACTTTCACGGTGAAGGAATAAAATAGTGTAGTAAAAATCAAACCCGCAAAATTATAATTTGCGTAATTACTGGTGGTAGGACCTCTTGTGAGTCCGCACGGGCAGGTACCACCACCCTGCCTATTTCTGCCGTGAAGCAGTAATGCGTTTCGGTATGAAGGGTGGGGCAGCCGTTGTAACTATACTGTGACCTTAAACTTATATCTCAAGGTGGGTGGCGCTTTTACGTTATAGATGTCTATGAGCTCCAGTAACCACTTAACACCAGATGGATTGTGAGCTCGTCCACCCATCTAAGCAATAAAAAAAAAACATGTCTGAGGGTGGCTGCGTGTTCCTCCTTCAGCCTCTACAGCAAGGCTTCCCTTGTCCCCAGCATCCCGCTGTTTGCTCGTGGCGGCGACACCACGCTGTTCCGGTACGCGCTCTTCCTGCTAAACAAGTGCATAGCCCAGCTGATGTGGGGCCGAGGGCTGCCCGTCACGGACATAGGACCGACCCTAGCGAACCTGCAGAGGCTCTTGATAACGCCCTGTAATATGTAAGTTGACAGATTTGCTTGTTAGGGCACAGACTATATATATTTTTTTTATTATTTAAATTGATTGAAAACACTTTTTTGAGGAATATTCTAGCTGATTACAACGAAAACATTTTTCTATGCAACCTACCCTAAACCTATCACATATCCTCTCCAAATTTCGAACTTTCCAAATGGATTCCTAAATGGAACTGGTTTCCCTACCTTTTCCACACTAGTAGTGGAAAATGCACAAACCGTACGACCCCCAGTAAATAATAAAAAAAGTCTAATAAAAAATAACTCATTTCGTTACCTACACATATGTAATTTAGCCTCTATTTTTATATACTCTGTGCTCTGAAACTTTAATGTCAGTTGCATTATGATGTTATTAACAAAAACGTTTTTTATTTAAAGTTAATATCTTAAATAGTATTTTTTTTATTATTAATTCTTTAACGTATTGATTTAAAATTTTCAATGAAAATCTAAATAGATGATATCTTCTTTTTATAGAAATTTAATACATACCATAACAATATTTCTTCTGTATAGTTAATTTTATTGAAACTTCCTATATTCAAATATGGGTCATATGAGACAAGGTTTTCAATTCATTCCTCTATTCAATTTGATTCGTTACTAAAACTATACTATGTATGAAGATGAAGAACGAAGACATTATCTCTGCAGGTCTGAATCGTCCAAGCTGTTTGGTAGTAACCGTTGGCTGTCGGACGGTGACTGTCCGCGCGCCCAATCCTTACGCAGTATGGTCGCGTCCGACCGAGGGAAGTACAGGCCGTTTAATAGGTTCAAGGTATGCTTCTGTCCGTTCACTCATTCGTTCTCGTTCATAGTTCATTCGTTCGTTCGCTCTTAGTATAATCTGTTGGGTTATTTGTTATCTGTTAAGCTTGGATCGTGGTATGTAAATGGTCGTAAATTCGATTTTGATTGTAGATAATCATTAATTGACTTCTATACATATATTATATGTACATAATATATCGTCTTCTCGCATTGAAACTGTATAATCTCAAAACTTGCTAATTTTACAGGAGAGTGTTTTAAAGGTTTAACATGTGATATTTTTAATATTAATCATCTATGCAACACTTATTTTTTACCAGTAACATTATCTGTCTTTTAAAGTAAGATAAAATTATGTATTAATTTTGTTAATAGTAGTCAAAAAATAGGTAAACTAAAAAAAAAACTACTACTAAACTATGCTCTTTTAACAGTATTTATGAGAAAAATACTAGTGATACCAAATGATTCCAGATATTAACTCCAGTTTCGAATATTTTTGGAAATTGTACACTTTTAATGCGAAAAGACGATATATCGAGAGGTGAAAGCTTATTTGGTTTAAGGGGAATTTTTGCAACTTTACAGTCGAGCCATTTAATGATTCAAAATTTGGAAAAAATATCAAAACAACAAAAACCTTCTTCAGCTATTCCAATGGAGTAAACTTAATTGAAATTCAATTAAAACCATCGAACCGTTTATTCTAATACCAAATAAAACGCACCTTTAATTTTTAATATGCACTTTGTTTGTCATTGTTTTTGTATACATAAACTAAAGGATTCTTATAAAGTTCATGCGTCTAATAAATCGTTCATTCACTTAATGGTTCACTAATTCACTCACCCGGGAACCATTCTGCAATGTGGAGTCTAGTTAAATTAATAAAAAAAAAGCGAATGTGTCTTTGTTATTGCGATAAACGAGGTCACTGCAACTGCAATGCGGATTTCAAGTTTAGTTTACGCGCCAGTCAACCACTGGTTTACTGGTGGTAGTAAACCAGTGGTGGTACTGGTGGTGGTAGTAGTAAAAAAAAACCACCATCCTGCCTATCTCTGCCGTGAAGCAGTAATGCGTTTCGGTTCGAAGGGCGGGGCAGCCGTTGTACTGTTAAAACCGTTGAGAACTTACAATTCATGTCTCAAGGTGGGTGACGGCATTTACGTTGTAGTTGTCTATGGGCTCCAATAACCACTGAACACCAGGTGGGCTGTAAGCTCGTTCACTCATCTCAGGAATAAATAAAAAAAATGATGACAAGATAGCTTTTGGTTTGCCTGCAATTTTTATTATTGGCTTTGTGGGGGAATTTACTGGTGGTAGGGTGACTTGTGTGCCTGCACGGGTAGGTACCATCACATTGTGTATTTCTCGCTGCGAAACAATAATGCGTTTCGGTTTGAAGGGTGGGGCAGATGATGCACTATAGAACTGAGATTTAGAGCTCATGTCTCAAAGTAGATGGAGACGCTAACGTTGCTGATGTCAATGGGATCCGGTAACCCTTTAATACCAAGAGGACCGAGAGCTTATTGACACGTCTAAGCAATAGGCTGTTACGAATACTCTTAAGTTTTCGTGGTCACCGTCGACTAAGTTAGAGATAATCGTCGATATTTCAATGTTGTGTTGAAACTAGCTCCAAATTTTCAAAAATAAATATTGCGTATTCTTTAAGCTTCTCATCACACTGAACTAATACTGTCTTGTGAGTCCGCACGGGTAGGTACCACCACCCTACCCATTTCTGCCGTGAAGCAGTAATACGTTTCGGTTTGAAAGGTGAAGTAGCCGTTGTAACTATATTTGAGACCTTAGAACTTATATCTCAAGGTGGGTGGCGCGTTTACGTTGTAGATGTCTATGGGCTTCAGTAACCACTTAACACCACGTGGGCTGTGAGCTCCTCCACCCATCTAAGCAATAAATAAAAAATGTTATTTGACAGTACGTTTGTCTGTTTGTATTTAATAACAAATTATTAAAAGGTTTGATTTGAAATTGAAAAGGTTTATTCGCGATTCGCTCGTCCTTTTCGCTCTAAGGACTGTTGGGTCCTGTGAATCGTTGCATTCTGTGCGCGAGGACGGTGTTGATATGTGGTCCGTTCTATTTGAACACAGGATTCGTTGGATGGTCACTCGCCACATTCCGCCACGACCCTCCGGAGACATCGCCACTCGAAGAGCGTCGGTAGCTATCGCGACGACCAAGTGAGTTGGCTCCCTCTAGTCTGTTCCATCCATTCATCCATTCCGTCTTCATATTTGTTCTACAACAAAATTAGACTCGAATATTATAAGCCCAGTGACCCAACAAACGGTCCAATTAGAGGAACTTTTTAGAAGAACTCTTCCAATTAGAAGAACTCAAGAACCCTTAGCTACAAAAATACGTGCTTTGCGATCGTAGAGGTTAAACTATGGGAATACACGGCTAACAAAGAAATGATATATCAAATTCCCAAACAATATTAATATGGTTTTTAGAGGTAAATGAGATATTAAATGATATACAGACGATTACATCGTCATATCGCACGTTTAAAATTAAAGTGGCTTAATTAAATTTTTTAAGAAAATGACTTTTATACTTGGAACGACTTATAGACATTTATTCTATTAGTTTATAAAATTAAACAGTCTCTTTTAATGTATAATTCTGGTCGACGGCTTACGACGAAGGGCTCGACGAGTAAACTAACCCACAGACACAGTCCACTGAGTTTCTCGGCGGATCTTGTCAGTTGGTCGCGTTTCCGATCCGGTGGTAAATTCTGCGAAGCACGGCTCTGGCTAGGGCCAGTGTTAGCAACGCGTCCGGTTTGAGCCCCGTGAGCTCACCTACACGCTAGGATAACGCTAATGGGTAGGAAAAATAAGCACCAAGGTGCCAATAAGTGTTCTTTATAATGTAAATTACGAGTTATAAATTTATCGATATTATCGGTATTTATCGATATTATAAAGTTATCGATAAATTCACAGGAAACAAAAAAAACGATGTATCCACATAAGTAGACAACAATACAACCAACACAAACATTATATTGATAACTATGCAGTATTAAATAATTATTATATAAATTAAATAATTAATAATTTCATTCCCAGGAAACACCGACGTTCGATCAATCCACTACATCGATAATGGGAAGCGAATCGAACATTTACAACATGAAGCTGTCCCAGGGCAACTCTGAGGCGGCGTCGACTCTCAAAACTCATAGCTCCGATTCCGCCATTCCGACGCTGACGGACAACGCTGTCAACGTCAGTGCCGACGGAGCTGTCAATGTCACCGCGGACGGAGCTGTCAATGTCAGTTTCATTATAGGCGACGGCGAGAAGCTGGTCAGGCTCACGAGTAACAACGGTGACGTGGAACTGAGTGATAATGTGAAGAAAATATGCAACGAAATTAATGATTTTTGCTCGTCAAACGCCATTGACATAGCAGAGTACATGGAGAGGCGCGCCAGTGACATAGAGGACCTGGATTGTAGTGATTGCGTTAGGAATGAAAACGGCGAATGTGATATAGTCTGTGCGAACAATGTTAGGGACGTGATCGTCATTCCCAGCGCTGAGGCCATCTTGGACACGGGGCAGAACTGTCAAAGTGACAGGCACAACGATTGACAGATTGACAGCCCGCGTCAAATAGTTTGAATGTATACGATTGGACAGTTTTTTTTTGTTGTTTAGCCAAATGTGTTGATGTTGATGAATGCAAAATAAAAAAAAGGTTTGAATTGTTTTTTTTTTTATAATTTAAGTCGAATAATATCGGCTTTGTAACTAAATTTATGTTTGTGCGGGTTGTTAAGGTTACTTAACTGACTCAAACAGCGTCGCTTATTACGAAGATAATTTGAAGAGGTTATGTTAAAAATATACAGCGTGTTTATTTTATTACTATTTATATAGTAGTTTTCAACTTATTGTTAAAATTAAATTGTTTTAAATTTAATATAAATTGACCAACTCTTAAGGATGATTTTCACTAATTATCCCTTTTCGTGTCAGATAATACATATCCTAAGAAAGTATTTGAACATTACTCGACTTCAGAAGTAAATAATATAGATTAATAGCTGATTTTTCATAAGAATAATATAATAAAATACGACCGAATTAAAATTACCGAAGTATAAATAAATCAATTCGAATGCGCATCATTTTCATATTTAGTCGGATTATAAAAGCCATAACCGATTTAATAGACCCATAATAAAGGTAATATTAATATATATGATCGGTCCATGTAAATTGATCGTATTATCGCAGTTTGTACGTAAACATATAATAGTATATCAAGAGCCTTTTTTTTGTCAGGAGGAAATCACCGGACTTCCGCCCTCCACTGGGGATGGAGGGCGGGGTATGACGGAGTTGAACCGACTAAAATCTCCTGTCGCTCAACAACCAGCATCCAAACCTCGCATGAGACAGAACTCTGTCAGACTCTGTCTGAAGAGTTCTGTCATTCAGAAGTCTGAGTTCTGTCAGAATCAAGAAATTCTGTAACGAAAATAAAACCTAACACCCCCACTCCGCCTACCATGTAGCTCGCGTTCAACACATTCACACGTTGCGCTTGTGTAGTGTTTGTGAATAAGCGCGCGGCGTGACTTCGCACTGCATGCGCATTGTGAAAAGTCAGTCCATCTCTCTCTCGCGCGCTCTAGCTTACGAGTGTGAAGGGGACAGTTAATGTTTTGCTTTTGTTAATGTTTATAAATATAGCGTGGTCTTATTTTATTATTGTTTTAATATTAAATTATTATCTAATTATAATTGCATAACTTGATAAAAAAAATGCTATGCAATAGCTTTACCGCGGCAGTCCCCGAGTGCACCGCTTGTTTTTTTTTTTAAAAAAACTTACTTGACAAGTCTTCACGAAGGACCTCCACGATGAAGATGTCAAGAATCAAACCTATAATAATAATAATTGATAATTTGTATAACCAATAACACCTGATATTAAGTTTACCTATTAGCCACATTCGAATGAAAACAAATCTACTTATACGCAATATGTTGTGTGAATGTGGGTGAATGCGAAATGAAAAAATTGTCCAATCGTAATCTTAACGCCAAAATCGTATCGACGCTTGAAAGGCAAACGTGACTAAGCGACAATAACTGCTTTTTACATAAATGATAGGCAATAACCATATTCGATGCGCAAAAAAAATATATATATCTAGGTCTATTAAAATCATTTCAATCCTACAGCTAGATTCAATAAAATAGAATTTTTTTCAGGTATTTCTCAAGTTTTTACTGGTGGTAGGACCTCTTGTGAGTCCGCACGGGTAGGTACCACCACCCCGCCTACTTCTGCCGTGAAGCAGTAATGCGTTTCGGTTTGAAGGGTTGGGCAGCCGTTGTAACTATACTGAGACCTTAGAACTGATATCTCAAGGTGGGTGGCGCATTTACATTGTAGATGTCTATGGGCTCCAGTAACCACTTAACACCAGGTGGGCTGTGAGCTCGTCCACCCATCTAAGCAATAAAAAAAAAAAGATATATTTTAAATTCATTTCAACTTTAAATTAGTTTACTGTAAAGTTCACGCATTGTCGCTTAGTCACGTTTGCCTTTCAAGCGTAGGTATAAATCAATCGAAAGCAATTCTAATTTCATTATGAAACTGTGATAAGTGGCCTTTTCGTATGCGTCACTTTGTTTTTAGCGATAGCTCTACAAACGTAGTAATTGTTAATCGGTTTAAGAATTTCTATACGATATAGATGAATTAGATTTCGTATTTCGCAAGAACGATCGTTCGTTTATCATTTCGACATCTTAATATAGGCTCCATCGACGTAGAGCAATTTAATAAAAAATGGCCTTTGAACAATATTAATCTTCAAGTAGATGTGTATTATCTATACTAATATTATAAAGAGGAAAGATTTGTTTCTTTGTTTGTATTGAATAAGCTCCGAAACTACTGAACCGATTTGAAAAATTCTTTCACTGTTTGGAAGCTACACTATTCCCGAGTGACATTAGCTACAATATTTTTTGAAAAAAATTAGGGATCCTTACTAAAACTCCAATAATGTAACCCAAGGTGTAAAGAAATTACCTAAAATATTCTTTACATCGCGTGCCCTGTGAAAACTATTTATGTTAGAATAAAATAATGTACTACGAATTTGTAAAACTCATTATTATTTACAAAAAGTGTCGCGACAGCATATGTCTAACTATTATAGTTCAGCCACAATAAGTGTTCTTTTATTTAAAAAAATAAAACAACGTCAAATATCGTTGAAATTTTTGTTAAAGACCCGAGCGGAGCCGGAGCGGGCCACTAGTATTACAATAAAGACGTACTATCGCATGTGGTAGCGGTGTGTTAACATTATTATTGACTTCGGTGTAGCTAGCTCAATTGAATTTTTTTTATCTGTGCGCTTAGGGCGAGTATTTTAACGTTCTCGATAGCGTAAAAGTTAACTCGAATTTGTGTAAAGCTGGAACAGCGCCCCTAGCGGCAAACGTAGGGAAAGTTTGACGCGATCGAGAAGTTACAAAATTCTCACTAAGCACACTGTTCTTATGAATAAAGTTCCTACTCTGTAAACTATTACTGTAAGGTTTCAAAACGATAAACGATCGGAAGTTTCTAGAAGCTATTAAAATAAGATAAGCGTACCTACTTCTATTTATCTGTTTGATAATTTAGTAACTTAAATTTGTTATGTTAACTAAATACTAAGATTGATTGAGACGTGTAACAAAATTTTTAATAAATTGATAATTAAAAAAGAATATTGTTAAACGAATTATTTCGTGACTCAATTGAGTGTTTTTTTTTTTAATTATTATTGAGGCTAAAGGTAAGCATGATCGTCTTGAATAGGGGACAAATTGAAATACAGTCAAAACCGTTTACTGCGACATCGTTTAGAACAACATGCCGGTTATAATAACCTAGAAGAAAGGTCCCGGCTGAATGCTATATGACCGCCTTATTAAAAACATTGCTTTATACGACATACCTCATAAAACGACCACATTCAACTAATATTTCGAAGAATTAGATCTGTTAGAACGACCGGCTAAGCTGTATTGTAAACAATTTGAATAGGTATCCACATTTGTCTTCAATGGCTATTAAGCTATTAAAATCAGGAAAGAAAACAATAGGATTTAGTTTAGTGTAGGGTATTTTCTAATTCTTAGAAACAAAACACATACATGCAGTAGAGTCAAAGCCCGCTTCTTCGTATCTCTTCAGTTAGTTTATTACTTATCTATACACAAGACGCACCAAAACTTTGTGGAGTTATTTCTGAAACTTTCAAAATGTCGCAAAGAATGAGAAAGCAAATTAATATTGAAGAAAAATCGCGTATTATGTAAATATATTTTTCCAATAATTCCCTATCGATTTGTTTGTACTTGCACGATACACATTAAACATCACCGGTTGTTACGACTATCGGTTTTTACGACTGAATATGAGCAGTCCCTTCGATGTCGTTATAACAGATTTTGACTGTAGTATCCAGCTATACAGTGAAAGAGCAAGTTACAAATCAGAAACTTGACAAAATAATGTTAGTGTAGCAAATTATTTACCATGAATGTTTTTTTGTTTTTGGCTTAGATGGTTGGACGAGCTCACAGCATACCTGGTGTTAAGTGGTTACTGGAGCCCATAGACATCTACAACGTAAATGCGCCTCCCACCTTGAGATATAAGTTCTAAGGTCTCAAGTATAGTTACAACGGCTGCAACAATTTGGCTATAAAATACACTAGTACTTCGTAGTAAATGTTGAGTTTTAAAAGCACGTGGATTTCTATGTGGCTACAGAATTTTCTTATATGCTTTATAATCATTTAATTTATACAAAATATCGTTTCGAATGTTTGATGAAATAATCGGATGATTATTAGGGCATTGACTCACGACATTTGGGGAACCGTGGTCAAAGAATAAAAGCTGAAACTTATAAAATCCCCAGATTGTGATTTCCCATTTGAAAATAATCTGTACGTCCAATATAAAGTGAGCTGCACCTCGAAATAGTTACTAAAGAAACACGAGCGCGAATAGCTCAAGTTTCCTTGGTCGCAATGGCCGCCCAGCAAAAATATAAATAGAATTCGACCGGCACGCGTCCTGTTCTAAATTCAAACGGTCCGGCGCTTGGGCAGCCCGGACGTCAAAAACGAATTCGAAATTCGAGTTTTTAGAAAAACGCGGAAAGGCCGTCTTTAGGGTAATATTGGGACGTAGTTTTTTTTTTTACTGAATAACAAATAGGTACCGCGATTTATTGTGCCAGTGAAAATGTGTGAACAGTGTGTCCAGCGTTAAAAGGAATACGGATGCTCAATTGACCTGGTAAGTAGTTATTTTAGGTTACTAAATAACATACATTTTTCGTTTTATTATTTTTATTCATAAATTTTAAGGTAATTGTGGGATTTAAATTTAAAAGTTTAGAAATAAATTTAAGCTATAAAAGCTATAGACTATTTGGTTTTTTTTTATCCTGATCGAAAGGAAAATTTAGGGAATCCTTAAACTAAAAATAAACATTAATTTTTAGTGAATATATTATGAGAAATAAGTGATATTGTAAACATGGCTATTTTTTTTATTCAACTAACAGACGTGATTATTCAATAGAATATTATGTAACACGTGCAGTACAATGCCAAAAACAGATTTAGGCTATTTAAAAGTAATAATACATTTGAAGTTCAATTTCGATCCAATACTAGGCGCGCTTATGGTTTCATTGGCCTTAAATAATGAATAAAAACTTTGCTTAGAAAAATCTATATGGTTGCGAGAAAACTTAGTGTAATGCTTTCCCGTTTACCGCAATTAAAAGATTTTATCATATACGACTTCGTAAGTCTAATCTTCTTTCTTCTTTTTCTCCACCTTATCCCACTAGGTGGGGTCGGCACAGCTAATTTTTCTATTCCATTCTCTTCTATTAGCCGTCATCTCAACACTCACTCCTATTTCTCTCTCATATTGTCATTTACACACCCCATCCATGGTCTTCGTTCGACCTCTTCCTCCTCTAAGTAGTAAGTTCCCTCGTAAGTATAATCGTCATCTTTGAATGGCAATCAATGACGAACAATTGCACTGATATATAAATGATATAGATATAAATAAATAAGAATAAAAATCAGTGTTTTTGGGTTTAGTAAAATACCTTAATGTATCCATGTAAATAAAATATTTTCAATACAGAGATTAGTTTTGTAAACAGTATGCAGGTCTTTAATAGGCCGGTCTTGACAAAAACGGTATTAAACTAAAGTGGTATGCAGACAGGTTGGTAGATAGAAAACATATTTTATTAATTAGCATTTTGAAGTGATATCACTGTTCAAATAAGTCTTTGTTTAGATAAAACAGCAATGTAAATCAAACCTTTGGCATGCGTGGTAGGACATCTTGTGAGTCCGTACGGGTTGGTACCACCACCTTGCCTATTTCTGCCGTGAAACAGTAATGCGTTTCGGTTTGAAGGGCGGAGCAGCCGTTGTAACTATACTGAGACTAACCACGTAACCACTTAACACCAGGTGGGC